ATAGAAAATTTTATCTTTACTGTAAATCTTCACTGTAAATGATACACAAGGTTAAAATAAACCTTGAGAATTGTTTTATTATACAAAAGCATTTAAGGAAAAATTCATGTTAAGGTTGTCATTTAACCCATTACGCGATATACACGCCTAGAAAATTTTGGACTGGTGAGAGGCTATAAATGACCCAGATTGATCATAAGGTAACATGTAACCAACTATGAAAAGCATTTCACTCTATCTCAATCCATTGCAGAAGTTGCAACACTTAAAAATCAATTTTGATGGAAAAAATCAACGCAAAATAGTGATTTTTGGCAATTTTGAGATGTCCCCTCGTTGCCATGGTAACAGAAAATTTAAGCCTGAGCATGTTGTTGCAAGGGCAATGGTCCAGTCAACATTTGTGCCAAGTTTGATTAGTGTTGAAGCAGTTTTTATAGTATTATAGCAACTTGAACTTGTAACGGGAGACTTTTCAATGAAAACAGCCATTTTTCACAAAATGCTCATGAAGTAATGGGTTAAGTAAATAATGCTGATTCAGCTAAAATATTAATCTAATGATATAAATGTAAGTATTTAAGGATCATTTGTAAATACTGTATTAGTAAATATATTATTCCTAATTTCATAAATAAAACACCTAGAAAATTACTAGAAAATTAGTCAGTCACTAACAAAAACAACAAAATGCTATAAAATTGTCACTACTTTGAGTAAGTCATAAAGTAAATCAAATATAAGTGCACTTGCACATGACATGATACATAAATATTGTAGATAAGTAGAAAAAAATCCCCTATAAAACAAACAAGCAAGATCAGTGATCACATGTGTCACCTGATGATAGCCAATTGCATGTTGCAGCTATTGTGTAGCAAGAAACACAAAAATCATGAACAGGGCAAATCATGATTTTTATTCAAAAATCATTAAACCTGAAAACTTGTGTAATATTCCCAAATACTTGAACCATTACTGGGTCAAAATCATTGAACCTGGAAATATCGACAATATGCATGATTAGACTTGGTACTGATCATTCCTTTTAAGTTTGGATGAAACTGCACGGAGAAGTCCAGACAAGTTTTGTGACATACAGACAGACGGACAGGTGGAGGAGAAGTGATGCCTATATGTTGCCGCTATTCTGTAGCAGGTGACACAACAAGAGCTGTCAGAAGGACAGCGCGCTCGACTTTTTTAGTGCTTGCCTATAAAACAAAACTTTGACAGTTAAGGGCACACAAGACTTTAACTAGGAATTTCTAAGTACAAATCAAGAAACATTTTCACAGAGTTATCTTCTCTTGCTTACAGATAGGTCTCATGATGGCACATAAGAACTCCAACTTCCAAAGTAATATCTCAAATGGTTAAGTCAACAAGTGGACAAGAATGAAAATTTTAACTGAGTTTCTAAGTCAAAAAGGGCCATAATTCAAATAAAATCCTTAACAGAATTACCTTTCTCCTGCCCATGTTTTGGGACCATGATGGTAAACAAGTATTCCAACTTTCAATTTAATATCTCAACCAGTTCAGTCAAAAAGTTGACTGGTACAAAAAAGTTAACCAAGATTCTAAGTCGATAAAAGGCCTTAATTTTTAAAACAAATCCCTGACAGAGTTACCTTCTCTTGCGTACAGATGGGGGTAATGATGTGAAATAGCATTAAAAGTTTCAAAGCAATATCTCAAAGGGTTAAGGCAATAAGTGGATTTTACCCATATTCAATGTATTTTCTAAGTCAAAAAGGGGCATAATTCTGTCAAAAAACCTTGACAGAGTTATGTCCTCTTGTCTGTTGATGAAGGTCGTGATGGTAAACAAGTATGGTCAGTTTCAAAGCAATACCTCCAATGGTTTTGAAATAAAGTGAGGTGGTACAAAAAACTTAACCAAGCTCAATACACTTTCTAAGTCAAAAAAGGGCCATAATTCTGTCAAAAACCTTGACAGAGTTATGTACTCCTGTCTGTAGATGGAGGTTATGATGGTGAACAAGTATGGTAAGTTTCAAAGCCATACTTGTAATACTTCTGAAATAAAGTGGGGTGGTACGAAAAACTTAACCAAGGTGTGACGCCAACGCCGACGCCGACGCCGACGCCGACGCCGACGCCGGGGCGAGTAGGATAGCTCCCCTTTTCATAGAAAAGTCGAGCTAAAAATCAATCAAACAACAGGTTTCAGTTTTTCACTATTATTAATATCTTGATATTGAAGTTTTTCTTCACTCATGTGACTTAATCAACATTGATATTTGAGCATTTCTTACCAAAAAGTTATTTAATTTTTTTTTGTATTATATATTACAAGCAAAACACATCTGAATGACTGTAGAATAAAGATAACCTGTGTAAAACAACATACATTTACTCAACTCTTCTAAACATAAATTGAAGTAACTTAAATGAATAAATTCAATTAACAAAAAAACAACAACAAAAAAACAAACATAAAAACAACACATTCTTACATAGCAAAACATAGATAAGCTGCACAGTGATAACAAAAATAAAGCCTGAAATATCTGAATATTTAGACATAAATGAGCCGCAACATGAAAAAACCAACATAATGCGTTTGCGACCAGCATGGATCCAGAGCAGCCTGCGCATCTGCACAGTCTGATCAGGATCCATGCTGGTCGCTTACAAACCCTTTTAAAAGTAGAGAAACTGATAGCGAACAGCATGGATCCTGATCAGACTGTGCGCATGCGCAGGCTGGTCTGGATCCATGCTGGTCGCAAACCCATTACGTTAGTTTTGTCGTGACGCTGCTCAAATCACAACTAGGAAGTACTGTATATAGTACCACCCTTATCACAGAGAGAAGTTACAATTTACATGTCAATAAAAAACATACATATGTACAATAATTTCTAAATTCAGACAATTCGTATTAACTTTGCCTTCATTTAAGTACAGACATCATTCTTTTTTTTTGTGGGACACTTTCACACATTATAAGTAGATACAGTTGTTTATGAAAGCACCGACTTAAAACCTGAAGAATGTATATTGAAACCTGTGGTTGACATGTGTTTGTCTGAAAATTTATTCATAATTCAAAAATAAGAATGTACACATTATCTCTTAAAAGAAATCATTTCAAACAGCAAAGTTTTTTGTAGGGATGGCAATGAGTTACTGGTTAATTTAATGCTCGAACTTAAGTTCTAGTATAGATGTATCGGTAATCAAAATTGATACTTGAGTACACATACTTTCAACAAAAAAAGAACCTCTTAATCTTAACATCATGGATACTATTTCACCAACAAGTTAAAATTGAAACACCATAAAATGTTCACCTATATAAAGTAATTGTATCACAGGTAAAGCCTTGCCATTTGTGTACAACATCAATACAGTTAACATATCAATGTAAGTAAAACTATAAACAGATGCATAAAGATTCTTATATACCATACAAACCTTCAAAACAATGAACTCACAAAACCATTGATAAAAAGGATTCAAAAGAAATTAACATCTTAAAGCGATTTCATAGGACATATTTTCTTTTTTCTTTCTAAATATCTTTATTCTTTCTAAGTAACAAAATAGCATGAAATAGGCTCTGATAAAATTATTTTCCCGACTTTCTTTTAATATGCAAATTTATTTCATTAAAAACATCTATATTGCAAGAAATTTGAAACAGTGTAAAAAGTACTTGTTTAAAAAATTACAAAAAAGACTAAATTTTGAACATACTTGAAGACAAATCAATACAATAAATAATTGTGACTACATTTTCAGTTTTGATTCACCAGGAACAACATATTTATATTGTATGAAAAATATTTCATATTCATGTATATATAAAACTAAACAACATAATGTTAAAAAGAGCCAAGTTTGAATCTTTGAGACTTGGTATCACCACAGCTGTTCTTCTGTCCTCCCTCGTGAAAGCTATGTGTATTTAGAGTTGGCACTGGAGAATAATTTGTAATACCAGAACTTTATCTGCATGACCGTGTCCGAGAAGAAATAACCAACATTTGTACATGTTGATGGTGATTGTAGTCTGCAGAACAAATAAATGCCAAGAAGGAACAGGACAAACAACAAAATAAAAAAGAAACACAGGAGCACAAAGCGGGCACATTTCTCCTCTGAAATAAAAGAAAGACAACAAAACATGTTAGTACAGCTTAAAAACAAATGCCAAAATATCATACAGATACTTAGAAATGTCACTGTAAGACTGTGTCTGGCCACAAAATATTAAAGACTTGGAGTTACAGTAACATGAAAATTACTTATATTACTGGGTACTATTGTTTCTTAACAGTTTTTTTGTCAATGGCTGAAACAATATGAATCTAAAGCTGACTACAAACAATTGCAGACAATTGACTGTCTATCAATTATTTCAATGTTGACTGTTAATGAATTGGTTTAATGACGAATCAAAAGGCCATCCATCATACTTGTATACTAATATGAGCATATGAAATAAACTGTCTCTACAATTTGATACATACCTCTATCAAGCTCGGCATCTGAAGGCACTTGTGATTCATCAAACCTAACCTTCTTTTCTCTGTCACCTACAACAGAAGTATAGTTTAGAATTAAAGTTTGTGTAATAATGCCAAGCTATATTACATATATCTCAGCATGCTAGCAGTAACACTGACATGTCTAAAGCATAAGAACCAAGTATGACTAGTGTCTACATGTACTTAATTGTACTACTGGCTTCATTTTTTAATGTTTGATATTGAACAGTCTTAAATCAGCTTCCATTTTATATCTGGCCATGTCCCATTACAAAATTCTTGCAACAATTAAGTCAAGTAAGTTTAAACAGATAGATAACATTTATCATTCTGATAAGCATGCCATTTTTTCATTGTTTAAATTTCTAATGATTAGCATGTTTTGCATTTCAATCCCATAAAACATAACAATCAAGAATACTTCCAATTATTACCCTAAGATTCAAGCAAACTTTACATCTCCTTTGAAACAAAAATTTATCTGTAAAATCTAAAATTTAACAATGGAATAAATAAAATGATAACAGTAAAACTTGTCTTTATAAAAAAAATTACTTTCCCTTTCACTCAAGCGATAATAACTTTTACACCAAACATTATATTAATTTCTCACCTTCAGTATTCTTTCTTTTTCTCAATATTGAGGTAGGTTCAGGAGTGTCTGCTGGAGTTGTCTCCCATGACACAGTAGGGGAGGTAATATCTGGTTCCCCAGACTTGGCATATTTACTCATTGATTCTGCAACAAACAAAAAAGAAAAACACTTTCTTAAAAACATATATTTATAAATATAGGCTTTTGTGTGTACATCATATTAGCTCAGTCAAGAGTTTCCTCTCTTTTCAATAAATGCTATGATCCAAGTCATTTTTATTATCACCATCTTTAATGATCAATTGTAAAATGTTTGATTACAAACAAATTACAATATAATCTTATATCATTACCATAAAAAAATTTCCTTGTATTTAAAAAGGAAGAAAAATTAATAACAGTTAAAAACAGGAGGTAAAATCTAATGTAGCCAGCAATTATTTTGTTTTCTTCACTAATTTTGTATCAAACAAGCTTAAATCTCTCCCAACAAATCAATCAAATGTTAAAATACCCTAAATATTGTGCCTCCTTTAAACTATTAATTCATTTCATATAAATTGTTGTAATATAACATATTGTTGTACTTTTTTTAAAAATTATATGACAGATAATAATAGCTTAAAGGACTTACTTCAATGTTATAATAATGTCTCTAACTATAAATGAAACTATAAAATTTGATCAGAAAATGATCAAAGTTGTTTTTTTATCAAGAAAGGACCAAGGTTTTCAAACTAAACAGTGTTAAAATGGCACTATCAAATATCAAAATAACATAGAATTAGAGCTGCCATAGAAGTGAGGAAAACCCCAACCTTCATCATGTATAGGATTTATAAAGCGACACAAGTTGTCAGACATTAATTTTGACCTTTACGGGTGACCTTGATCATAAGCCAGCACAAAGCCAGCATAGGTTTTGCACATTGCCTTGTAGAGGGAAAAACTTGAGCCAAGTTTAAAGAAAATCATTCTTCTGGTATATGACTTATATAGCAAACATGTAACTGTCTGATATTTGACCTTGAGCCTGCACAGAAGTGGCATGGATTCTGCACACCATTTGTTTAGGTGAACATTTGAGCCAAGTTTGTAGAAAATCCTTCAAGTTCAAGGATTTCAGGATTAATAGAGTGGACACAATGGAGGTGGACAACTGACCTACCGACTGACTGATATGACAAAATGATTCTAGTATAGCCTCCTTAACATTATGTGGCAGAGGTACAAGAATTAGTAATGTTGAGTTGGACTAATGGAAAAAAGTAATATTGAGATGGAACTAACAAAACAATATGGAATTAGAAAGGTTGAAAGATAAGATAAGTATTTGCAAATTAATATGAGATAATAACGAACTTTCAATGAATTGGTTTTCATCATTTCTTACCTGTGTATTGAACTTTTCCAACCTCAGCATAGACTGTAGCAAAGAAATCAAGACTCTGTTGAACAAGGGGATTATTGTCACCATACACTTTCTGTCTTAACTTTGTACACTGTTCAAAATAAAACACAAAACATGTGTAACTTTGGGTATATTACATGCATTAAAGTGTTTCTTCGTGATGTAGGCCATTACTTAACCCTTAACCTGCTGAATTTTTTAAATAAACTTGTCCAGTTACCATTTTGGAACTGTCTATTATTATTTTTTGGGATATTAAGATAAAATCTGAAGTTGGTCAGACTGCATGTATGAGTAGGCTGGCCTGGCTCTATACTGGTGGCAAAGATTACTTTCACTATATCTTATTTCAATTTGCAAGCTTTTTACAATTTAAAATCAAACATTGTAAACTTAATTCTATAAACAATACTACAAACCAACGAGTATGACATGTTATCATAAATTTAACAACAATTAGATATGTAATTAATAGTCATGTCATGTCTTGAAGATGGTATATTTTATAGATAAGTGGCTGGACAAAAAACACTCAGCTTTTTAAAAGTCAATAGAGAGGCTTTTGGTTGAGGCACTTTTATTCTACACTCATACACAAGAGAGAACTACACACTTTAAAACATTTTAAGTTTTAACATATACATGTATCATACATGTATCTAAATAATTGTGAATATGTAAGGAGTCTTACCTTGCCTGCATATTCTAGTGCTAACTGTGGTCTGAAAGAGCATAGTAGATAGATTTAACTATAGACAGAAGAATATACAATGTATAGTCATATATACAATCTCTGATTTATGTTATCTTTAGATCCTTATTATCTAATAAATGAATACACTTACATGTGAGAATACAATGTGTTTGTCTGTTATAAACATATCAAGTTGTTGCCTTATCTTATCCTAGTTAAACATGTGACCTGTTTCAAACTTGTGTGAATATCTGGCAGAAAAATATCATATTCTTTTATATGTAATAATTAAAGCTTTGTAATTCAGTGTATTGAGTAAAATTAAAACAACTCACTGTTTTTCATCAAGACATAGTTTAGCAAGCTGCTCATATTCTGAGGCTCTGAGGGCATCAATATTAGTGTCAGCTGTATCACCAGCACCCTGCTTTGTTACTTCATCTAAATATATATGTTACTTCATCTAAATATATACTTCATTTCATCTAAATACACTATTTACTTCATCTAAACATACAAATAACTTCATATAAATACACTATTTACTTGAATACCAAGCTACTTCACTTAAATAACGTAACTTCATTTGAATACACAAGTTATTTCATTTAAATATAGAAGTTTCTTCATTTGAAAACACAAGCTATTTCATTTGAATTTACACAAGTAACTTCATTTGAATGCACAAGTTACTCCAATTAAAAATATGAAAGTTATAGGAGTTTTGCATAACTTTAAAATCTGAAGTTAATTTTATTAAGAAATTCATAAGAAACCATAAAATGAATGAACTTACTAAGATATGTTTTTATACTCTTTGATGATTGTTTTAAGATTCTTTAGTATTTCTTTTACTTGAAAGTGCTTTGTACTTGGTACAAATGTGAACATATTTGAGGATACAGTGGGAAGCAGTGGTTCAGTGGAAGGCCACATATTTAAGACTATGAGTTCAAAGTTCAAGTTCCAAGTTCAAATCCCATTAAGAACAATACTTATTTCCTTGAGCAAAAAATTCACTCCATATTGCTTCACTTTTTTCAATATGTATCACTATGGGTAGTTGGGAGGGCAGTATAAATCCATGGTGCCACATTGTGGGCTGCCTTTAGTAGAGAGAACAGCTTCCTAGGGATACCATTACCCACTGACCAGCAGAAAATTGTAAATTTGACTCGAAACTTGTACTTTACAGTGATTTACTTACCTATATGTTTCTGTAACTCTGTGTCATCTATGAGAACACTTTCATAATATAACTTCTCTGCCTGGATAAAACTGATTGCTTTATCAACTAGCATCTAAGTTAAGGAAAACTGGCTAACATTTTAATACCGAAACCTCCAAAAACAATCAAAATTACATGTTATAAGAGAAATGTGTTCAGTTTAAAACCACACAGACACTGTTAAGGAAATATGGTGATTTACTAGCTTTAATTAGTGAAGGAAGACTGCAGTGGAAATATTTTGAGTGCAATAGAGCATCTGGATACAGTCAATAACCCACAACTAGCCTATTACAAGATATGTCATATCAGCAAGTTCAATCCTTAATGAATGCTTTGTAAAGTAAATTAAACTAAATTACACAGCCTCTGAATCTAACATTTACATAGAAGTATATAACTTTTATGTTACAACAAAATAATGACTTAGCAATCAATTTAAGTGTATTATTTATGATGAGACAAAAGTTTTATCTGTAAAAGGATACATTCATCTCTACCATAATAGATATCACCAATCTGTAAATTAAAGAATATTCATCTGACATATAAACTGACCTTTAATTCAATCAAGCTAAGTCTATTTATTTTGTCTTGATCTACATCTCTGATATGGTAAGTGAAGACTGTGATAAATTATGTACATGGCAACAATACTAAATAAAGATAGTATAAATACCTTTATAAATAAAAAAATTATTCTATTTTAAGACATAAATGTAACATTGTTTCAGAAAATTAGAAAATAATATGAACCATGGAATCCAAAAACTATATAATCCTTTCAAAATAAATTTACAGTAAAATTCTATATTTCATAATACACAAAGTTTAGTGTTTTAATAGACATAGACACATTGTTTTAAATATATCTTGGCATATCATTTAGTTTTACTTACATTTCGCAAGCATTGAGGTAGCAATGCAAATCTTGAATTCTCTTTCAAACCGACGAGACATTTTAGATATCGTTTCAATGCTTCCACTTTTTTTCCTTCTTTATCCAGCTTCAAACCTTCTTCAAACATCTGGTTCCTACCAGCATCATCTAGAGCTGGTTCCTTGCTCAAATCTATATTCAATTCTGGGTAAAATAATTCACGTACATTATCAACAAACATATAATTACCATATGATAGTTTCTTGCTTTCAAACACTAACAGTGTATGTATAAAGGCATCTCCTAAAACTTTCATCATCATGCTTATAATGGTACCAAAATAATGATATAAAAATCCTTGTACTTTGCTGTAGATCTTATATGCTATTTCACACAATGACTAATTATTTATAGTGATTGTAAGTTTCAATATGAAGCAGTATCACATATTTAAAAAGCTAAACAGAATATTCTGTGATAAATCATTTAGTCTTTAAAACATCTGCTACAGACAACTATATTTTACTACATCAACTAGTATATAAACATTCAATTTAAGATGACCAATAAAACAGGGATATAACCAAGAATGACTACCAGTATCAAGATCTTTATCATCCAGATCCTATTTTTACCCCTTAAATTTAGAGATAACAGAAGCTGTTAACTTATCACATTATCATTGTGACTTTTAATTATTATACAGATAACACATCTGTCTTCATAATATTTCCTGTACCTTTAAACTTAAAACAGGACACTTATAATTGATAAAACAAGATTAAATCAGGAAATTTAGAACCCTTCAATTACCCACAGGCAGTAGTAGACACCAAGTGAGAGTTATAATATAAATACATAGATTGTATATTATTAAAGGTGTTAATAAAGTTAACCAATTTTACATGTTAAGTGTTTGACAAGTGCTAATTTATGTTATCTTAAGTGTGTCCTTAAATGATAACAAAACCACTTACTTGGCATACTACAAGAGAAGTACTTTGAATGGGCATCACAAATGGATATTGCAATATCAACTAACTGCATAGTAATAGAGGTGGACTTTACATTAGATTTGCAGTGAATAACTTCTTCAAAGGTCATCATTAAAGAGAAGTGTTTTCTGTCATGATTAAGGTAGAAGTTTACCCTCACTCATAAACAAACATTTCAAAAACTTAAACTAAAGACATATCATAAAAATGTATCAAGTATTTTATATCAGCTATTACATAACTTGAGAATAATGATGTCTGCTGACAAAGCTCATAGAACGTTGACTTATACCACAGCATTATATCATTGTTTTATCCACCTTTTTTGTGCATTAACAATTGCAGAAGCACACAAGCCTGCAGATCAAAGGATTTAATAAGTCTGACCACCCCTTCTGCAGATGTAAATGCATGAAAAAAGGTGCATTAGAAATAAATTACATAAAACCATACATCTGATTTGATAATTCCTTGTTTCAATTTTTGTTATAAATATAAAGAATTCAGTTAGTTATGCTTTTCACCTGCTTGTGCAATGTCACTTGACAGGTATGTTTTCATAATGAAACTACCTGGGCTGTCATTGCAGTAAGCTGTGTTTACATGGTGCCTTGATAATAATTTAATCATAAACCATCTTCTTTAAAAACAACAAAAAAATGGTTCAAATTATTTCATTCTTTTACATGCTTTAAGGTATCATATTTTGTAGCTTACTTAACTGCTTTCTTATACAAATACAAGATATAACTTATTAACAGCAAAAATTCAACTATACATGTAAATGTATATCTTTATATTACTCTATTGTTCATAACAGCAAAAATATGTCAGAGATATATATATATTATAGTGTTGCTGCTATGAAATACAATTGTTGTGTAAGGGTAAAGATATACCTTAAATATAGATTAGCAATTATACTACAAAGTTGAATTAATAAATTTCCTTTTTATATAAGTGTTACTGAATGATACATCGTCACATGAGATTTTAGATACTCCAGGCATAACAACAGGTACATTCATTCTTATTGTATTCTTTCTTTATAGTGAGCAAACAGAAAAAAGGGAGCAGTACTGATGAAGAAGAAAATTTGAACAAAAGTAAGTGCAAAGTTGTAAGAGGCCTGGAATCGTTGATTCACTACATATTAAATATATGAAAGTCATTTTTGCAACGTATTAATAAGAGTAATGCCAACTTTGTATTGTTTATATATGGATTTAAGAACATTCTCCTTATATACTTTTGTTTAACAATGTTTGTTTTCAATATGATCGTACCATGACTTATGATTTATGTATTACGTTTTTTGTATTATGACTATGTACAAATATGTATATGTCAATAAATTATATCTATCTATCTATCTTTTTTCATCTTTTAATTTTCTGAATGTATATTATCGTTCAGGCCAAATTACACCATATATATTATAGTCACTATACCAAAATGATCAAAATTCATTGTTCAAAAATTTGTTAAGTAATCATTTAAGAAACTTATAGTGCATGTACTGTTAATAACAATAGGACTGGTACAAAAAAATTATTCTACTTGTATCCTATTATCGCTTCTATATCCACCATTGATAGTTCATTGTTACTGACAGAATGATGTTATCAATTAGAATGAAGAGACAATGAGTCAATTGTTCTTGTTGTTGTATATCATTGTAAACTACTTTGGTCATACAACATTTCCTTGAATATCGTGTCAGTCAATTAGTATCAATAAAGGAACTAAATGAGCCGTGTCACAACAAAACAAACATAGTGTGTTTGCGACCAGCATGGATCCAGACCAGCCTGCGCATCCGCGCAGTCTGATCAGGATCCATGCTGTTCGCTTAAAGACCCTATAACAAGTAAAGAAACTGATAGCGAACATCATGGATCCTGATCAGACTGCGCGGATGCGCAGGCTGGTCTGGATCCATGCTGTTCGCAAACCCATTACGTTGGTTTTGTCCTGATGCTGCTCAAATGTTTATTTACAAATTATTGGAAATGTTTAAAAGGAGGGTAGACCAATTTTCTTATAAAGGGAATTTTAGTGAGTGTACTGGCACTTCTGCAATCATTGTGATTGTATAATTTTTTCATCAATGAAATCAAGCAGATAAATATTCTGTAAATTTCATAAATATTCAGAAAAAAGTGTTTTGTTCAGGTGGATACTTTTATCTTAATTCTTGAATGAATCTTGCATTTTTCTTTGTCTTATATTTATCTTTCATAAGTAAACAACACAAGTGAGGACATCTTATTTAATACTAAATGTTTGGCAATGAGATATACATGTTTAAGTGTTTTGATCTTGCTGACTTATGGACTAAGTTATAGATGTTTGTTGTTCTTAAATCAACATTCTAAAGGTCATATCATTTATTTATATTAATATACAAATATAAACAAGAGCTGTCGGTAGGACAGCAACCCTCGACTATTCTTAGTGCTTGACAGTAAAAAAACCTTGATAATGTAAAATTTTCTAAGTTAACAAAAGGGCAAAATTTTTCTTTAAAACCATGTTACAGTTATAGGCCTTGAAGAGAGTCCTATTATGCTCTCAAAGAAGAGTATAAAATTTCAACTTGTTTCAAAGCCAGATGTCAATAGAATATGAAAATATCTGAGGTGGTATGCAAACTTATTTGTAAATTCTAAGTCAAAAAAGGGGCATAATTCTGTCAAAATGCTTGATACAGTTACCTGTCAATGGACTTTGAAAATATTTGAGGTATTACAAAAACTTTAACGAAAATTCTAAGTCGAAAAAGGGGCATAATTCTGTCAAAATGCTTGATACAGTTACCTCCTCCTGTGTACAGGTTGGGATCATGATGGTGAACAAGTGTGCAAAGTTTCAAAGCCATATGTCAATGGACTTTGAAAATATTTGCGGTATTACAAAAACGTTAACGAAAATTCTAAGTCGAAAATGGGGCATAATTCTGCCAAATGCTTGATACAGTTATCTCCTCCTGTGTACAGGTTGGGATCATGATGGTGAACAAGTGTGCAAAGTTTCAAAGCCATATGTCAATGGACTTTGAAAATATTCGAGATATTACAAAAACTTTAACATAAGTGGTTACGCCGACGCTCTGGTGACTACAATAGCTCTACTTATTCTTATCGAATAGTCGAGCTAAAAATTATAATGAAGTTAGCAAGATGTAAGAAAAAACAAACTCAAAATATAAAGTATTACTAAACTAAATTAAATTTTTCCATTATTTCATAGTTTTATGTATAAGCCTAAGGAACAAGTTTCCTAAAGCATCCTTACAGCAGAGATGTTCCGTTTATCTATCTCTCTGTTGACAGGATTTTTTCACAGAAAGATGGGCTATAAAACTGACAACACGGAGTTAGGAAAAAGTATCAGTAAATTTAGTAACCAAATGAAGAGATTTTAAGGATTTTCTTAAATATTATAATAACATTAAAAGTTTCTAGAAATAAGAATTATGACATATATATTATTCAGATAATTAAATAGAAAATCAAATTCAAGGGCTCATATGAAAGACCTGGGGAAACCATTATCAAAACTAGTGCTGAATAAAATCCACAATACCCTTCTTCTTTACCTGCTTCTTTATTCTCCACACTTTCTTCTTGTATATCAGAGTCTTCTGACTTCTTTGTTAAATCTACATCTTCTACTCCTGAAGAATCCTTTGATTCTTTATCAATGACATCAGAAGTTTTAACCTCATCATCCAAAGTCTCTTTCTCAACCTTCTTGTCATCCAAGTTTTCTGCTTCTTTTCTGACTACATCATGTTCTGCTGTAGTTTCTACTTCCATATCTGACACACCTTCATCACCAGTTTCTTTGGAAGCAGATCTTGAGTCTGTATCTTCTTTTTTTAACATGTCTTCAGATTTCTCCATGACTAAAATAATTATAACACAACTGTGTTAAGAGTATTGGAATTTTCTTTACTCATACATATTTCAAAAGTAAATAAAATTAAGAAGCATCAAGTCATTTTCTTCAAATCAAAAGTTTTTGAAGTTTACATATAAATTTTGAGCGTATAAATTTAATATCTTATTTTCAAATTAACCCTTGATAAATGTAATAAATGAACTTGCCGATCATCTGACACATATTATAACGGGACAGGCAAGCCACAACTGAAGATAAGTGATATATGTTAACTTTTCTTCCAAATAATGCACACTCGCCCAAATTTTATCTTGTTAATCCTTGTAAAAAGGGTATTTTTGTCACACTGTAAGCAGTGTCAATAAGCAAAATATTAGCTGTTTGTTGTAAGATTTTAACAGACTCAGTATTTATATATATTTTTTGTGTGCGATTTTATGAAAATTTAAATTATCACAAGTTAGATTTAGAAATACAAAAATTAGAAATGACAATATGACAAAGAATGCAAGCAAAGTATTGCCACACAAAGAAAGTCATATTAATGAGCAATGCACAAGTGAATACAACAATGTTTATAACACATTATTTAAATGAAAACAAAACAAAACATCAAAAGGCACATGCAAATACACATATAATACATTTTAATTACATTCTAATATTTAACAGAAGAAGAAATAATAAAAATTAAGGGGTAGGTGGGAGTGGCAAAATTGAAGAATAACTAATTGAATGTTTTGAAACTAAATGTATCCGACAAAAACTGTGTTTTTAACATTTAACGCCAAATAATGTAGGGATATAAAAATTAAAATTCAGGTGATGGACCCAGGGTAATTCGAATGACAACAACACCACTTAAAAATAGATGATAATAAAAATCCTACATCAATCCATTTCAAAAGATTTTCTACATAAAAATGTTCTAAATGATCAATTTCTGTTTATAAACTTAGATGCTGAGAACAACATTCCAAAACAAACATTTTATCTTCTCATTTCTTAATCCTGTCAATTTTGATAATCTGATACTGTCTAAAGCATGTTTCAAATAATTGTTTTATGTGGGGCTAGTCGTTATGGGGCATATTGTCAGTTATCAATTCTGTACCAATTATCTATGGGTCTCCGTCATTTGTCACCCTAAGTGCTAGTTTGAGGCAAGTCGAAACTAGAAAGGAAAATTATGACACGATATTTTCATCAATTTTAGCGGATGAAACCAAATTTATGTTACATTTCATTTGAAATTAACAAGCAAAAAGATATAATGTAAAATAAAATTCTTTCTACCTTTTCAAAAAGTACTAAAATGCCTGCAGTGAACGATAAAAGGGAAATTTTAGACTTGAGAAAATAATAGTTGTCAGATATCTTCCATGACAGGTAATTTGCTTTCGGCTCTCGTTGATTTCTTGCGTACTTCAGATTATTGAGCGGGGTACCAATTTGATCACAAGCGGTGTTGAGTATAAAGCGATCCTGGTGAAATGATCCCTATATGTCATATGACTAAACAGTGCTAAATAGGTACCTGCTAAATAGGACTTGTAATAAAGAAAAAAGTAACAGGGAGCTTCACCAGCTTTGCAGTAGGTGTATATTGCATAAAATTAAGTTGCAACTATTTTTTCTGATATAAATTAAATTAAATATTTGTGTTGTAGTATTAACAGACACCAGAATAATAAAAATTAAAACATTTTTAAATGTAACATGTTAGATATTTCAATAAATTAACAAATATCAATATTTTAAATATACACAAAGGTAAGTAAGCTATTGTAGAAAATTGATGTCTATTAAAGCATTAGATCTAGATGTAATGAAGCAAGAGTTTTCTTTTAAGATCTTTAAATGAATTACAAGTAAGTGACATTCAAATATTTTTGACACTTTGTTCAGTTTAAAGGGGGGATAGAAGTAAGAGGGAGAAATTTTATCAGGGGTAATTAAATTCAGATATTTATTACTATGTCCACAACACTACTACTAATTTCAACTTGAAACTATTAAATCATACAGTATGTCTAAGGGAATATAATTGTTGGTATATCACTGTTCAAGACACATAACTCTAGCAAGATTTTTACTAAATAAAACTCATTTGTTTTTTTCCCCCCAGAAAATTCCTGCCTCATCCTGGCCTTTCTTTCACTAATATTTAGTTGTCTGATTGGAAGCTTTTGTTTTTATTTTTCTTTTATTTCAAGTCCAAATGCAATCAGTATTGAATTTTTAGAATATAGCTTCTTTGATTTTAAACACTGTTATAATAATCATCATCTTTGTGACATTTATTATTGATTTTTTTATATGAGAGGAGTCTCATTTATTTTGCAGATCATAAAATAATGTTATCGCATATTTATTTTTAATATTTTTTCAATTTTTACCAATACTAATGATAAAAATAAAAACAGGTACAGAACTTAAAAAAGATTAATACACATAAGAACAAATTTGGGTTGCAATGTTGCCTGGACTCTATATTGGGGTTATTTGTGACCAAAATAGGTCCAGACCAAAAAAACAGGTGACAATCCTTATATGTAGACAAGGGTTCCAACTCCAAAAAACGCAATTTTCACCCTTAGCTCAATGAGAAGCAAATTACTTGTATCCATTTTTCAAGCAAATTCTATATTTTTTTACGTGTACATGTAGCATACTTATTGTCTATTTATAAGGATTGTCACCTGTTTTTTTGGTCTGGACCTAGTTTTGGTCACAATACAATACATGTATAGAGTCCAGGCACCGTGCTCGAGAATGTATTCTTCATTTTATCTTAAAAAAGAAGTAGAGTTATTCATTGAACATTATAAATGTTAAGAGCTAACTACTTGTAATCTGTGTGATATTATAAAGCTTTTTTTTCATTTGTAATTAATGACATTTATTTTAATTGAACATGAAAATTCTTCTATGATGATATACATCTTAACTCTACAGGACAATATAGATCTAGTAGTGACAGAATGAAGACTCAAGACGATAAAGAGAATTTGTTTGATGTTAAGAAGAAGGAAGAGAAATGGAAACTGGTTGTGTTGATTGTAGGCATTATTGTCCTAGTGTTGGCTTTTGTCACAGTGATTGGCGTTGTTATATATATAATAACAGATAGATATAGTGCTGATAATCACCCAGATATAGATTTAAAATGTGACACAAACAATGATGCCTGTATGTAAGTAAAAGTCATCTTACCCACATTACATTCATCTCACCTCACACTAATGAACTGTTCAATTATTGTGTGTTTAAATATAATGAATTTTGACTAGACAATCTGTTTTTCATATATTGTCAACAAAGTAAGTTTAACTGATGAAGTTTAATTTAAATTTAAGCACAGTATTCATTTTATTTTAAAATTCATCCATGATTTTCTGTTGACATATTTAATCAAAACTTGTTTTTACTTCATAATATCTATTACCTCAAATTCTGTTATATATTAATTTTGTAAAAGTAGTTACATGTATGCAAATTTGTATATATTTTTTTAAAGTAAACACAATGGAAATAGAAGAGAACAAATTAGTCAAACACAAGGGTAGTCTGTAGACTGTTTATTACTAGATCTACCTTTTGCAGTCGTTCACTTAATTAAATCAATATATACCTTTAGACATTACAGATATATTAATGTTGGTTTTACAGATATACTATGGTTGAAAGTATACCAGAAAATTTAACATATAACGCTGGAGAACCTTCACACCCATCAACATTCTCTGGTATACAGGATATTATATCAAAGGCGGAGAGTACTATAGAGATAGCAAGTTTCTACTGGACAATGAGACCTAATGACCTACCAGTCACTGACCCTTCCTCTTGGCAAGTAAGATATAACCCTGCTAGTTATACTTTTATTATGAAATATGCTATGAGTGTTGTCGTTGGTAGTTTTCACTCCGGATAACGGCAGTAAGCTACATTGAATTTACCAGAGCACAGTTCAGCCACCGCATCATTCCTGGGCAGGCTGTGAAGCAGTTTACCAGTACTAGCTGACTTCACTTTCACAAGGAACTGATTACTTCTTTACACTATATTTGTATAACGCTAATGACGTCACGTCAAAATATATGCACGGCCGTGCAATACCATATTTACGGAGTCGCAAAATCGGCACGGGTGTGTGATAAACATGTATATTTATGAAATCAGTCAGTTTAAGATAAAATACAAACTATACAAAGTAGTTTGTAGACTTTTAGCAAGTTTTTTTTATTGATGTGTTTCATCTTAAAACAAGCACACTTAACTTCTTAATTATAATTATATATATATAAACATATACATTGTATATTGTTTGCTAAAAATTTACAGCTTGTCAAAACATGTTACACACCATAAAACATTATGATAATTTAAGTTTTAACTTTTGAAGATCAACTGTGTGCATGCTACAGAGAGCCAGAACATGTGTGCAGTTGTACCACTGACTCCAACCGTACCATTGGTACCTCAGTTTTAGTATGTTAATATTGAAATCCCTTAAACCACTGTACTATTGGACTGTTCCAATTTTAATGTATGATAAGTTCATTATACAATAGGTTAATTCACTTTTTGGCAGGGTGAACAGTTATTCAATGATCTAGTGTTTGCTGGGAAAGAGAAAGGAATAAAGATAAGAATAGTTCAGAGTTATTCAAAGAAACCAATCAATGACACACTCTATCTAGCTAAAGAGGGTAAGCATAGTTTTACTCCATTGATCAGTTATAAAGATAGATTTTCCATATTATCAAATACAGCCACTTTCTGGGAATCCCGAAAATATTGATATGGCTCGATGTGTGTGAAAATCTACATTTATTTTGTGATACTTCTTGACTGCTAGTCATATGTGTCACACAAGTATATAGCCAGGCAAGTCAATATATATAATTAGAATAATATATAATAAAATGCAAATGACATCACTTCAAAATATATGCATGACCATGCAATACCAATTTTTACAGAGTGGCAAAAGGGGCATGGATATGTGATAAATCTACCTTTAAAGTTTGTCACTTTTGTTGAAATTTCAAAATTATGCTTATATTCCTACATGCTTAATTGAATTTGTTGATTCATTTACAGCCTTACATCAGACATGTGTATTGATTTTACTTTTGCTTGTAACTTGATTCAAAAGAAAATCAACAATATTTCCACTTTATGTTTAATGAATAGCTGGAGCTGAGGTGCGCAGTTTAGATTTTGACAGACTGTTACATAGCGGAATACTTCATACTAAAATGTGGTTGGTGGACAGGAAACATTTTTACCTTGGTAGCGCAAATCTTGATTGGAGATCATTTACACAGGTAGTATTGAAGATTGAAATATTTTAAATAATAACATAGTCCTACATCTTCAAAATAATGTATGTACAACTAAGAAGTACAAGTAAGGTATATTGATGAAACTAGCTTGTTACTGAAGACCCTCAAACTTGCATTAAATTGGTAGCAATTCAAAGCAAAACAATCCAATACAAATATTATAAGTTAAAGGTTATGTATATATTATATAAATAATGATTACTATGGTGTAAAATTGTTAATGTGTGTATTATGACAGGTAAAAGAGATGGGGTCTTTAGTAAGAAATTGTGATTGTCTAGCTGCTGATATAGGGAAGATATTTGATGCTTACTGGTACCTGGCAACACCAGATTCTAGCATTCCATCGTCATGGCCACCAGAATATAACACCATGTACAATATGTCATCACCAATGATAGTCAACTTTAATGGAACAAAGTACAACACATTCCTGTCTGTAAGTTACCATTTTATATATTTTGTTAATATAAGATTGTAATCAAATATTTCATCAAAATTCAAAAGTACAAGATTTTGAAAAAAATGTAACAGATATTTCTTTGACATTTTTCTGTAGTATGATTATGAAAATTACATAAAACTTTTATTTTTAAATCAAATCATTGTTTATATTCCAAGTGATCACAAAATAAGATAATAAGAAACTTTTTAAAGACATTCTTTGAAGAAGGACTATTAAGCCTTTCTTATGCAGTGACTAGTTCCTGATAAAGGCTACAGTAATTTGACTTTTAAATCACTTCATTTTGTGTTCATATTTTTTAAGTCCATTTCAGTCTTGTCTTTGTAATACAATTTCATATATCATTCAACTAGCAGCATCTTTATATATGATACATCTTTCCTAGTGTAGATGCAAGAAGTTACTATGAGAAGAAAAACAATTTTTGAAAATATTGTATAGTGTTTTTTTTACATAGAAAGTGGTGTGTTTTTACTATATTTGTAATTTACAGAGTTCACCACCACCAATATGTCCTAGTGGTCGGTCTCAGGATGGAAGTACTATTGTACAGATCATAAATAATGCCAAGTCATATGTTCATATAGCAGTGATGGATTATTTCCCTACTACACAATTCTCACATCCTAGAATGTAAGTTAACACTAGTTTACATTACATAATGTACATGATTGCTCTTAAGTCCTACCTTAAGATTGATGTTCCTGTACGAAAATTAATGTGTATAGCCTATACAGTATTATCACATACCTGAATGGTTGTTTAGTTTATATAAACTATCAGCCATTCATACAATGAAGAAGGACCATACAACACTTTTTGTTTGTTTTGTAGGCTGGCCTGAATATACTGGTGACAAAGGCTAATCACTCCCAGTTCCATCAGATTAAGGGTTAAAACAATATATTTCATTCAGCTTGGCATTTATTTGTTTAGATTTAGACAAACAACAGAAATAAAGCATGCATTGAATGGCTGTTTATGCCTGTAAAGGACAAATGTTAAATTTTATCTAGTGGCAATATTTAATGCAAGATATCCAAAAAATTAATGACAATGGAATAAATGGTACCAAGACCCATCATGTTTTATACACATTTTTCTATAGATATTTAGGCCAGATATACATGTATATTTAATAAAAAAATGTTTGAGATTAGAAAATGAGACACCTGTTTTTCCCAACTTTGTTCACATCTTGGAAATGTCTAGTGTACACATTTACAACCGGATAGCTTACAACAGTGATGTATAAACAGATTAGCAAATCTTAGGGTCTGTGTCCAGATTTCAGATTAAAGTTTTTGTGCAGTAAATCATTTTTTACTATAATGTCTTTATTTCTTAAGGTATCAACTTCAAATATATAGTCCTTTATCATCAATCACATCTTTTTTGACAAGGTTCATAACTCTAGTAGCAATATTTCCAGAAAAGTCTCCCCTTGAACTTAGATTTTTCCATTAAAAATGTTGTTCTTTAACTTCTTTAATTTTTAATGTATCTACTTCAAACCTCAAATATATATTCCTTATTATCACCAACATCATAGTCAACAGTGAAAATAATACTCCTTTCCCTTTAACAGCCATTGATTCTGACATTTTGTTAAGGAAAAGTAAATCGGATATAAGTATAACCTTTTATAGTTTGAACAGGTTCAATATTATAAAACCATTTGACAAGTGTCCTCCATTTTTAAACGTAACAATTTTTGAGTAAGTTACATTAACAATGTCCAAATTTGACAATATTGATATCACAAATTAAGTAGTACTTGCAGATAAACTACAGTGTCAGTAGTAAGTACTACATCAGCAAATAACTACATAAATATTTCTACAATATCTGGTGAAATTTGTTTTCCACTCATTCCATTCTGTTTAAAAGAATCATACAAATCATTTATAATAACACTAAACAAAACAGGACTTAAATTGCAAGCCAGTCTTAATCTAACTTGACAATTAATAAAATCACTTTAATCTTTTCCATTTGTGACTTTTGTTAACATAACAAGCAATCTACCCCAAAGATCTTCAGTTTTCAAGCATAGTCATATTTAAATATTGGAAACAAAACAAGTTCTCTGATTTGTGAGACACTCCTTTCCTTCTGTAAAGTAGACCATTTTTCCTACTTAATTATGTTTTTGTTAGCTACAACATCACATTTAATCAGTTCTTTCATTCAAATTTTATTGCTATATAGTTTCCTACTTCCAACATTTATTTAACAAGTATTTATATTCCTGATTTGTCATACTTGATATAGTACATATAGCATGACATACTAGCCTCACATACTAGTAGATGATATTTGTGAAAAACTTTTGAATTACATAGACAATTATTAATCAGAGGGTATATTTTCAGATACTGGCCAGATATAGATGATGCCATTAGGTCTGCAGCATTCAACAAACATGTAAATGTTAGACTATTATTTAGTTATTGGAATCATACATGGCCAGAAATGCTCATCTATTTAAGATCACTCCAGGCTCTGCAATACAGCTCTAAATATGTAAATGTCAACATAGAGGTGGTAGGTATACTCATGTCTACTTTCAAACTGCAGGAAAATTAGATATACCTGATACAGTTACACTGAAACAGGCATGATTCTGTTCTACCAAGATGTTTCCTAACATACATTGTTGTTTTTGTTGCTGTTTTTTTTTTCAAAAGAAAGTCAAGCACTTTGACTATTTTGACAACTTTGATTGCAAGATAATATTGTTCGCACCTTTTTGGCTTGCAAGCCTTGGCAATGATTGCTGGTTAATTTGTATGTTTATGTTGATTACACAAAGCTTTTTAGCCTCATTATGCTTTTCTATGTGTATTTGCATATTTTACTGATGACTGAATATTTTTAAGGGGCCTCCGTGGCCGAGTGGTTAAAGTCGTTGACTTGAGATCACAGGTCCCTCACCACTGTAGGTTCGATCCTCACTCGGGTCGAAATGTTTCATGTGAGGAAGCCATCCAGCTGGCTTACGTAAGGTCGGTGGTTCTACCCAGGTGCCCGCTCGTGCCTGAAATAATGCCCTGAGGAGCACCTGGGGTCTTCCTCCACCAATAAAGCTGGAAAAAAATCGACGAAAAATCTCGGATGACCCGACTTGAGTGTAAGGTCGCCCATATGGGCTTTTCGGCAGCGACCTTCAATAAACGCATCAAAAAAAAAAAAATGAATATTTTTGTTTCAGAGATTATTTGTAGTACCAGCATTTACTGATGCTCAGAGAAACATTCCATATGGCAGAGTTAACCATAACAAGTACATGGTTACTGATAAAACAGCTTACATAGGTATTGTATTATTTTTTGAAAAACTCTGGAACCTTAACCCAGTTGGCAGCATCTGAATCTACCCATGTGACCAGTGCAGACTAAGATCAGGTGGCACGTCTGTCCTCTCTGATCATAGTCAGCACTTTTCACTATTTGTTTTGTTTTGTTTTTGGGTTTTACGTCACATCGACACAGTATAGGTCATATCGCGACGTTCCAGCTTTACTGGTGGAGGAAGACCTCAGGTGCCCTTCCGTGCATTATTTCAGGCACGAACGGGCACCTGAGTAGAACCACCGACGTTCCGTAAGCTAGCTGGATAGCTTCCTCACATGAAATAATCCAAAGTCCCTGTCGGGATTCGAACCCACAGCGGTGAGGGGCAAGTGGTTTGAAGTAAACGACCTTAACCACTCGGCCACGGACGCCCCTTCACTATTTAATCAGTACTTATTTTAAAATTTTCCTTAGAAATAATTAAGGGTTTTGTCTAGATTTAAAGATTGACAAGTCCATTTAAGAAATAAAGCATGGAAAGTGTTAATAGTCTATCATGTCTCATGCTGTGCAAGTACATATTTCTTAAGGTCCTTATCTAAAGAGTTTTAAGGTTTGAAAAAAAAACCTGCATTTATATACATAAGATAGGGCTTTTTTATATGCCCGAAAATTTTTGGTGTAAATTGCTTTGCACCTGGTCATCAGTTCGCCTGTAAGCAGTTCCTTGTTTGGTTTGTATCTTTTCAACTAATGGAAGGAAATTGAACTTACTTGGCAGAAATGATAACCATAATGAGATGACCTTCCTCAGGTCAAGGTCAAACTCAGTCATTTTGTATGAATTTCAAGATCTTGTGACCACTCTGTATCTTTTGAACCAATAGAAAGAAGAAATGTTACTTATTATGAGGCGATGTGCAGAACACAGGTTTGTGACTAGATATCAAACAAAATAGAGACAAAATAAGAATTTTTGTCAGAGACTTTATGTAAATTTAATGAATTGACCTGTTTTAAACAGTGAAATTATCAATTTGATAATTTCACTGTTTTGAATATTTGAGCCCGTTTCAGTGAAATACAAGCGTTCACAGTACTGGAAGCCAACTTAATGATGTGACGTCGTAAATGACGTCACCTTGTATTATTATTTGGCGCCTTTTCCATTCAGTACTAGGTTAAAATGTCTTTTTAAATGTTTCTTTGCATATAATCAAAAGAAAATTTGTTTAGTTTAATGTAAGATGGAAATATATTTCACCTTGTGAACACCAAAAGTTCATATTTCACTCATGGCTGCGCCACTTGTGAAATATACCTTTTGGTGCCCACTCGGTGGAATATATTCCGATCTTACACTGAACTAAACATATATCCTCTATATCTTTATGGAAGAACAGTGGTTTTATTCAAGTGCCTGTTTATGTCTGAAAGGGCACCACCAGTAAAGTGGGAAAGTTGCCATATGACCGTTAAAAGTGTTGTGTGATTCAAACCCAACAAAAATATATATTATATAGATATGCATTGTATTGGATAAGTGTTATAATTGTCCTTAGTTACTTAAAGTTGCTGTTTTGTTAGTCAACAATATTCAGTATCATAATCCATTTCATGTTTCAGGGACATCAAACTGGTCAGGTGATTATTTTATTACAACTGGAGGTATAGGACTGGTTATAGATGGCAGTAACCAAGGCAACCAGAATGACATCAGAGCACAATTGGCTGCTGTGTTTGAGAGAGACTGGAACTCACAATATGCTAAACCTCTAAATCACTTTAACTCAACACTAACTCACACTTGATGTAATCTGTATACTTCTATTGAAAACCATTCTACCTTGATTACTGTATTCCTAGAAATGTTCGCGGATACAATATTTCGCGTTTTTCACGTCGGCATTTTCGCGGAGACAAACTTTCGCGGAAATATAGTAACCGCGAATTCCGCGAATGTTAAAATTCTGGAAACAAAGTGATCCCTCGGAAGCATTAATCACAACAAAAGTCGCTACAGCCTAAAATACAGTTTTTGGAGGCTACGTTTTTTATGCATGACCTTGCCTGTTGGGTGCTTTTAATTATTTTTTTTTGACAAGTCGCGCCTAAAGCGCAACGTTACTCGATACATTTTCATCTATTGACCAGCCGAACAAGAACGATTGTTCCGTGAACACATTCATATTTCCTTACCTTTTTCATTATGTAATTAAGTAAGATTTAGTCAGACCCGTTAGCTTTTATTCTCATTGAATCATAACTGACTTTATCTTCAAAATGTCGATACTTATTTTTTAACACATTTTTACACATTATCGTACTGTACATAGCTTTCATTATAACAACATAACAGCTGTTTATCCATGTAGCACTTGATCGCTATTGTACTTTTAACAAAGGATTACACCTACTCCAAGCAAATAAAACCCAAGTCATTCAATATTCGCAATCTGTAAATGCGTTTGTCAACGTCGTGACTAGCAAATAACGTCAATAAGCATGTTAATTACAAATAATTGTTTTTTGTCTTTTTCAGCGTGCAAACTAGTATCAATAACATACATAAGTATTTTTTTACACATTTCTATAACACCTGTGTTTATATGTTGTTTTGTGTAAGTAGATTATAATAAATATTCTGCACTTTTTATGTTATATTTGGTTGAAGCTATAAATGTTCGCGGATTTGTTATAAGTGACATATTCGCGGCTATAAAGATTCGCGGAATCATGCCTACCGCGAAAGCCGCTAACTTAAAATGCGCGAAATCTTTTCTAGGAATACAGTAATAACATCTTTTTATACATGTACATAAAATGATGAATAAAATTCAAATTAAGGGCTGAATTTATGAATTCTAAGGATGCAAAATTAATTAACACCAAATATACAATTTAATCGAGTGCAACACCAAATATACAATTTATTCGAGTGCAACACCAAATATACAAATTGTTCGAGTGCAATGAATGAAATAATCATACACAGTTTTCAGACAATTTTGTTTTCACCACAAAATGCCATCTGTCATTTAGTTCATTAATGAGGATAACTGAGGTTAATTGAGGATAACATGATTGATAACACTGCTTTAGTAGTACAGTATAGAGATAATGATAAAACACGGTATGTTGATATGTCAAGCATGAGATGGGATAGAAATTGATGGAACACCAAATTTAGGATTTATTTCAGGACTGAAATTATTACTGATTGCTCAAGAATCCTTCTGTATTATTATTTTTATAATACAAATAGCCACTTTATAATTGTATTTTTTAAACATTTTTTCAGACATCTTTTCAGTTTAATGCCTTTTATCATCTTGCATTAGAGTTGATTTTATTTACAAGATAATATATCGGCAATGCACTAACACTGAAAGTATTATAGTATTATAAATTGCAAAAAAACAAAAACAGGCTATGTTGAATTGTCAAATAGAGGACTGTGATATTTATGTTGTGGGACTGAAACATGTTTGTATAACTATACATGTGCAGTATATAATTATACATGTGCAGTAGATGTAATTGCTTACAGCTGCAATGTAGTTTCATTTTGACACCTTGTAGAACCTAACATGAAACTTGTATGGTGCTATTTTATTATTGTTTTGTACCAAATAATTATCCTCATTTTATTTATCATACATCACTGCTAATTGCACAGATATAGGGGTACATAATATTTATATTCAACATGATTGTTAAATCTTGCAAGAATTTCTGCACATGAAATTTCTGTAACAATGAGTTCATATATACTTGTAAATTATTTTCTAACTATGTAAAAATAAGCTCTATAAGGAATTAGAAGTATTTTAATAATGAAATGTTAACATTAGTTCAGGTATATGAATTTTGCAAACTGTTAAAGAATTGCTTTTTGTTCAATTTCAATACTAATATTAATTATTTGCCTTATGTTGTTGTTTTAATGTATAACATCAGGGATGATAGTGTTCAAATACTGATCTCATTTTTTTCTTTCCATCTTGCCCATATGTTTCATTTTATGGTAAAAACATTGTTAATTAATCTTTTTGTTGTTAGAATTGCAATGTTGCAATATTTTGAGAAAAAAATCCCAGTTTTGTAAATTCATTTTTTGTACATCATTGAACACATATTGTGAAAAATGGCCATTTTCATTGAAAAGTTCAAACTGCTATGAAACTTAAATGATTCAATACTGATGAAACTTGGCACAAATAATTATAATAATAAAGACTTTATTTAAAGAGGCAACATAGTTAGGCAAGCCCAGTCTTCCCTATGAGCCTCTATAAATGCTGACTGGATGACATCATCTGTAACAGCATGCTCAATCTTAAATTTTCTGTTACCATGGCAACGGGGGAACATCTCAAAATTGCCAAAATAACTATTTTGAATTGTTTTTTTCCCATCAAAACTGATTTCAAAGTGCTGCAACTTCTCAATGGATTGAGATGGAGTAAAAGGCTTTTCAGTGTTGGTTACACGTTACCTTACGATTAACCTGAGGCCATCTTTAGCCTGTCATATGTCTAATTTTCTTGTCGATGAAGGGGGCTGCTGCCCCCTTCAAACCCCCAAAACAGAAGGAGGCACATCCCCCTTTTGGCAACCCCCTGATGTACCTTTTTGATAGGGGGCGGCCCCAACATTTCCCAAACCAAAAAACAGTATTTGGGGCCTAAATAAGGTAATTTTTCACTGTTCTAGGCCTGAGAAAGGGGGGGGGGGTCGAAAAGCTGTAAAAAACACCTCTATAGGAAGTAAAGGGTTAAGGTTAAGTATGTGTGCTTTGTTGTTATATTTTTAGCTCACCTGTCACAAAGTGACAGGGTGAGCTTTTGTGATCGCTTTTCGTCAGGCGCCATCCGGCCGTCCGTCCGTCGTCCGTCCGTAAACTTTTACTTTAAATGACATCTCCTCAGAAACCACTAAGCCAATTTCATCCAAACTTCACAGGAATGTTCCTTTGGTGGTCACCTTTAAAAATTGTTCAAAGAATTTAATTTCATGCAGAACTCTGGTTGCCATGGCAACCGAAAGAAAAAACTTTAAATATCTTCTTTTTAAAAACCCTAAGAGCGGAGGCCTATATACAGGTGAGCGACATCAGGGCCATCATGGCCCTCTTGTTTTAATTTTGTAAAAAAAAATTCTAGTAACAATGTGTAGATTAAATCATTTATATAATGTACACAATAATAATCTAAAAAAAGAAATTTGAACATACATATAGACATAGACATGTTGTATCATTATTATGCCAATTAGTTATACACCAATGATAATCTTAAATAAGAAATTTACATCAGTCATGGAACAAAATAAGTTAAATTTTGATCAACAAATTTGTTACTTGTACTAATCTGAATTTGAAAATACATACAGACATGTATCATTATCATTCCAGTAACAGAGATTATTTTGTGTACCAAAATAAACTTTTACAGTTGTAGGTTTTGTTTTTATATATGTTAACTTTGCATCCCAACAATAACATGTTGAGTGATAGTTTATACTTTTTATACATGAGGTCAGGGATTGAATTCTTGTCCATGTCATATATAAAATATTCTAACACCACCTGCATTTTTTCCTATTACCGAAAGTGTGTGTTATTATGCAATAAAATCAATGTTGACGTTCTATATTTAGACATGTAACATAATCATTATATTGTTTGGTTTTATTAACCTGTCAATTACGTACTGATTACACGGTCGATGCACACAGTATGTTAATCTTCGGTAGATGTTCGGTAAGTTCCGTGAGATGTACGCTGTACGATAGAATTTAATTTAATTTGTATCTCTAAACTAAGTGTACTCAGCGTTATAGCGCAATAGGGTAAATCACGAGTTTATGATCTAAGCGCCACACGTGTTTTAAGTTCGAGGCCGCGTTGGTCCATGTTTTTTCTTATTAATACTTTCAACATTATTGAATCTATATATGATTATTTATGTTGTTCGTTTTGTTTCATTATGTTTTACTTAATTTTGTTATGTATATACTCTTTTTAAATAACATTTTTTTTTAAGAATTCATGTTTAAAATTAAAACGGATTAAAATCAATAAATGTCATTTCAATGCCGTAAAACACACTACAAATCTGTTCTATTAAAATATACTGCAAAAATAAAGAAAAAGTACTAAAACAATAGCAACAGTCAGGATCGAACCACAGACCTTTCAATTATCAGGCATTCTCTTTACCGACTGTCCTATTGTGAATTAACGAAAACCTTCACATTAAGCTGGCGTGACTTTCAATCGATGACTTATATACTCCACATTAATTCTCGTAAACTACACGGACCAAACCGAAGTTGGATCGAATATTTAAATGAGTCCTATAATGTATTCAAAATTGACAGGTCAATAAAATCAGACTATATATGTGATGTAACCACTAAAAATGTGACTCACTGAAAATAAGTACGGAATCAAAACAGGTGCAATTTAGTTTAATATCAGGTAGGGCAGCATTTATTTGTTAATGTCGTGTTAGAATCCAAATCAGTGATTATATTGCTTGAAAAAATCACTGTTTGTCGTTCTGATGCGCATCATTACATCACTTGGGCTACGCCCACGTGATATTATTCCTCGCATTGGAACTCCAAACAGTGATTTTATAGAGCGATAAAATCACAGTTTGGGATATATTATTTCTTAATCATTATTAAAATGGTACCAATGTTAAATGATGATACACGTGTAGTAATCTTCCCAAGGCTTTGTTTCTTGTTACCATTGCAAATATGTTGTGACAAAATTGTAAGAGTTTTCAAGCAAGAAACAATCCAGACAACCAATAGTTTGCTCTTTAGCTATTAACAGAATAAATATATTATTATCTCGTCGGTTCTGCTGTGCCTGCTCAATTTTTATGGGTATTTGTAATATAGGGGTTGATGGTTAGATTTTCATGAAAGGTATAATTTCACCATGGCAATCTCTGACATTGAGTCTAATGGTCGTTAATTTTTTGTCTCTCACTGATGATCAAGAAGTCATATGGGATTAGTAGTCAGTCACAAGTTATCCTGGAAAACCGTTAAGCTGAATCAACTGGAGAGTTTTGACCACATTGGTGTAAATACCAGCTGTTGTACTGTATTTCTTCATACAGATTAACTTTACCTGTACATAAAAGTCATACTTAACAGTTTGCTCAACCTTATACTATATTTAATGGAATTAAAATGTTATTCTTATGATATATGTATAAGCAAAATAAAGTTATATAACCAGGTGGTTAACTTAATTGAACTTTAATTATTTACCACTCACAAGTGGGCTTATCCATACCACAAAGTGTCATTGTATATACAAGAAGATTCAGGAAGGAAGCATGCAGCTTTCAGCTGTTTAGTTGTGCATGAAATAACCTGAAACCTTCCTCCGCTTGTTAAAGCTAGGATGTCTTTATGGTATCATTGCAACATTTTTATGCCCCCACAAAGTGGAAGCATATAGCGTTGCACTTGTCTGTCCGTCTGTACGTCCTGAAATCTTGTGAACGCAACTCCTCTTAAACCGGATGGCAGATTTTGCTTAAACTTTCAGGGATGAACAACCTTAATGTGTAGATGGTAGTAAAGGAAGGAATTTTCGCTGCGACCAAATTTAACAGAATTCTGGCCTTCCACTATATACTATGTAGAAATTTTGTGAACGCAACTCCTATACCGGATGGCAGATTTTGCTTAAACTTCCAGGGATGAACAACCTTAATGTGTAGATGGTAGTAAAAGAAGGAATTTTTGCTGCGACCAAATTTAACAGAATTATGGCCCTTTGTTGATTTTTAGTTTTCAACTTGTGGCACATGTAGTCCAAAAAATATTTGACCTAGAGTCATAAGATTGACAGAACAATGGCGTGTGGGGGCATCCGTGTCCTATGGACACATTTCTAGTTTAGTTTTACATATGGGAATCAGCGCTTTGAACTAGGGGCCCATATTGCATAGTAGTAATTTTAAGAATTTTGTAAAATTCTGTGTAGAGGTTCATACTGAGGTTTCTACACGGTGGAAAATTTTTATTAAAGTCGGAGAAAATGTTACCTCTAGTGTTTGTTGACAAGGTTTTTCAAATTTGGGCTGTGTGACCTAGCTTTTGCAGACAACCCTTACTCAAACTCAGCTAGAAATCATCAAACAACTTTTCTGACCAATTTCAAAATAATTTAAGCTTAAAATGATAACTCCCGAGTGTGATCAAGGTTTTTCATATTTGGGCTGTTCCACTTAGTTTTGACCATTCGATCTTGAGCTAGAAATCATAGCATCAACTTTTTAGACCCATTTCCAAGATATTTGAGCTGACATGCTGACAACCTCAGAAGTGTTAACAGGTTTTCCCATATTTGGGTTGTAATCTAGTTTTTGACCCCACATGACCAATATTTGAATTTGAGGTAGAAATTACATAAACAAACTTTCTGACATTTAAATATTTGGGATGAAACATATAAGCCCCTAGAGTGTTAACAAGGTCTTTCCATATTGTGCTTTATGACCCATTAGCAGAGTTAGAAGGCATCTAAACAACCTTTCGGACACATTTCCACGATATTTGGACTGAAACAGTAGCCACTTGAGTGGTAACAAGATTTTTTTCTATTTTCGGCTCCTGTTACCTCGTTTTTCATCCAAGATAACCCGTGTTCAAACTCATCTGAGCAATTACTGGGACAAATATCCTGTCCAAGTTCCACAACAATTGAGTGTTAAAGGACTAAATGTGGACAGATGACGGACTTAAAAGCTCACCTTGAACCAGCTCAGGTGAGCTAAAACATCTACTTTTAGTCTCTTTTATTAACTCAAGCCGAGTTAAGGCATATAAATAGAACAAAAATAACAAATAAAAGAAAACACTTTTATTGAAACATTCTAAACTATGAAATAGTCAACAAAACTACATAATATAAACAAAAAGATAATTCTTAGACTACTGGCATACGTTTGTTAGAAATATTTACAACAGTAATAAACTGGCTAATGCCCTCTGGCTATATACAGTAAAACTTTAAACATGTATAAATATCATTACCCAACTATGGTGAAATTTACCTTCTGGCTAGTTAAAAAGTACAAAAACATAATAGCATCAATTGAAACAAATCTTTATTTGAATGTCTTTGGTAACTTCAGGTTACTTTCAGTTATTCAGCATTGACAAAGTTTATTCAAATAACTGAAAGTCTTTTAAAAACAACCAAGACAAGAATTTCTTGATCCCAAGTTTTCAATTTAATTAAAAGATCACCTTGATGGAAACTTGTCCAAAAGGTAAGCTAAAATTCTTAAAGTTATAGGTGATTAGTCACTAACATGATTAGATTATTCTAAATATTTAAGTCAGAACTTTCATTTTAGAATCAGCACTTAAAATCATTCATCTTTACTGAAAATAAATATTTAAATCATTATAACAAAATGGTAATTAATTTATAATATTTTCTTTTTTAGTGCCAAAATCATGTGTTTTTTTTTGTTTGTTTTAATACAAAACAAAAAACTTATCAATCTGTTCAATGGAACCCACAGTCAATATGACCTACAAATGCAGGTACCCACAATCTGTCCGACTACTGCAGGTTCCCACAATTTATGCTATGGCTGCAGGTACCCACAGAACATTTCTGTGTTACAAAATGCACAGCATAAAGATTAATTGCAATTAAATTTGAAAATGTATATTGACAACTGTAGTTCATGATAATGTTGTCCTTAGAACAGATTTATGTAACAGATTGTTCTAGAATTCATAAATTTTAAGTTGTGACTACTGCAATAATGCTTATTGGATTTCAAATACATTTGCTCTTTGCTTTTAACAACACCATAAACAAACATTGAAATAAGTTAATAAACTGTGACAGAGCTGAAACATGCTTCTGCCACAAGTATATGGCCAGGTCAGCATGCTTGATCGTACAAGACCATGTCGGCCTACCAACCAAATCAATTTTGTAAAGTAACAAATATGTTTCAAAATGGAAGTTGGAATAGTTTGTTTGCAAAAATTAGCATTAAAACAAGTAGAGCAAAAATTAATTGAAAAAAGAAAACAGGCTCATAAGAATATTCAGGCATTTTAAAAAAGCCCAGTCCATTACAAGCAGAGTTTACAAAAAACAAATTTTACATTTCTTACTTTACTTTTTCTATGACAAACTTTTTTTAATGAAATGGTGCTTTTATATTTTACTGTAAAAAAATAAATCATTTTGTCTTGCAGACAAACATAAGGAGTTTGTATTAATCAAAATTAATACAAAATAAAAGTGACCTGCCAAAACAATGGCTAAATTACATTCAATTTCTGGAAATAATACTTTGACACTGCTTTAAGCTGAATTCATTAACAATGCAAGTTCTTTTATACATCTTAAACAATCAACATATTTATTCAATACTATTTATAAACAAAGTAACACCTACAAGGGATGTTAAACACATTTTTTTTAAATGTAAATATTTTTTCATGCAAACAGAAGTCAATTGTTGATGTTTTATATGAATTTGGAGATATTATATCTCAAAATAACATTTGGAGGTTGTTATAACCATGATTTCTATCATTCTATGTGTTGTTTTTTTTCTTTTGTTTCTTTCAAATTAAGATACAATAACAGTATCATTACTATCACATTATTCCACAAGAGTTACACTCATGAATTATTTTGTAACAAAATACAATCAAACTGACTAAATGCAACAAATCTCTTAACATCTTTTTTAAACTTAGATAAAAATCAAATATAAATGAAAATATTACTAATAACAAACAAAAAATGCATCTTTGGCATAAATGTTTAGCTTTTAACAATTTTCAAAATAAGTGAAACTAAAAAGCAAAACAAAGAACTTCAAACATATAGAGTTTTTACTTAATTGCAGATTTGTTAAAAATAGCATAGACATAAAACTATTAAACTTCACTAAAAAATTGGGAAAATTAAAATAGATGTAAATAAACACATTAAAAACACAGAACACTATCAGTGAAAATATTGATAAAAATATACTAAAAGTAACTCAGAATAAAAATTTCTAGACATACAACTGCAGAAACATTTACGATACACCAGAGAAAATAATTAAACTTGATATTCTTTGACACTCCCAGCTTCACTTTTTTTTAAAGCAAAACATATCCGGTTTAGATTTATAGCAAAAATCCCTGGGTTGAGATGTAGACATCTTAACCACATGGTCACCAATCTCATTCTGAATACTAATGACACAGAATATAAACTTTAAACAAGAGGACCATGATGGCCCTATATCGCTCTACAGAGTATAAAGGCTCAAACTAACGGAGGACTGACGATATTGCTATTAATGAAAGACAGGAATTATATAAAAATTTAGGTCAACTGAAATTAAACATCAAATCTGAATCTAGAACTTTACATGTTGAAGAAATTTCGTACACAAAGCTCTAAATACTAAAAGTAGGTATTTTGGTCAAATTCTAGGTCAACTGATAACAAATTCAAATCTGCACTTCAATGCTGTAGCTCTAAATACAACAAGTACAAAATTGTGCTATTTCAAAAGATTGAGTTATGGATCTGGACTAATATTGAAAAAAAAAATCAATGCTAGATCTGCATATGCAACAATAAATTCATTAAAGAAATAGAATGAAATAACTCCTGAAATACATTAATCTCCATTTCAAAACCAAAACATGCGACAAAAAATCAATACAGGGTATGGTCCGTTACAGGTTATATTTTGTACCCATCCAGAAAAAGTAAAATATGACAGTTTTGGCCATAATTTAAGAATTATTATTCTTAAAATGTCACTTTACATTATGTGAAGTAATGTTTCGAGATGACCCCCTGATTTCAAGCTAAAAAATATCCCAAGGAGATGGAGCAGTCTTCAAGATTATAATTTACTTTAGCATTGGCTACAATAGACATAGCAAGACCTACATAATAATGTAAAAAAAGCTCCAACAAGAGTTTAAACAAGATGTACATGTATACAACAGTAAAAAGTCCCACTGTCACATATATAACATACAAACAAGTGTTAAAAATTCAAAAAATTCGTCAAATAATCTTTTACATTATAAACACGTTAAAAATATCTTGGGTTAAAATCTGAACACATTTTCACTAAGAATAATCTTTGTATCAAAAATATAACATTAACAATAAATTTCACAAAATCTTGACAATTGCACATTTTCTATAATAATTTAGTAACATATTTGGGTCCGACATATTGTAGTTAACTTTATAATTTAGTATCTTAGAGAAAATGCTTTCAATTGTATAAAAAACAATTCAAAGCAAAATATACTACACATAATTGTTGTGAATGTAACTTTGTTCTTACTTTTTCAGTAATTTTCGTGTTTTTTTTTCCATTTCACTAAATACTATTCAATGTATTTGAAAAAAACTTTTCTAAATATGAGAATAAAATTGAAATATGTGATTCAATAACATAATACAATGTGTAATCTTTCACAATATTCAAGTATATGATTATTTTATATCAACTCAATGCCTTGCTCAAGAACATCTTGCAAAGCATCTTGACAGTTCAAGTTCTTTACCATCCATTATTTTGCATCGTATCTGAGCACTTTCATTCAATTCAGCCCGTACACTGTTTACTAATTGTATTTAAAATGTAACTCATTACAAAACATATCAGACAACACATCACCTCATCTGATCATCTGTTGGAATGATCAAGAATTAACTTTTTCATTAGTTGAGATCTCCCCTGGGTCGTGCAGGACAATGGCGCAATGTATGAGCCCCATCTCCTGTTGCTCCACAGATTGGACATGTATACTTTCTGAGAATTGGGCAAATCACCTTCCCCCATGAATCCTTGACAACATGTGTTGTGTAAAATTCTCTTCGCTCACGGTTTCTCTTGCAGAATGCACAGAATTTCCCTTCATCAAGGGAGCGGGAATTACGGTATCCACCATTCTCAGCATAGGAAACACCTGAATTTCCTTGCTGCATCAATTTGTTCAGCAGAAAAGCAACATGACTAATAGATTCTGGGTATTCCACATTAAGTCCATTTGAATATCGAGGGTACACTGGAGATGTATTCCTTTCTTCATCATGTGCTTGATCTAAACAACTATTTCCCAACATCTCATTAAAGACAGTGTCTACAGAAGCATCACTGCTGCCAAAGAATCCAGTACTAGAATAACTTGAAGAAGTATGCATGTTTCCATTCCATACAGTTGATGTGCTCTGTAAACCTCTTGTATCAATGTCATTTGGCTGGTGTGCAATATGGCCTCTTATTTCATCGTTCATATCAATCCATACTCCATTGTCGCTGCCCCAAATTCCATCACTACTTTTTGAAGCAACAGTTGAAGACTTGTAGTCCCAAACTTTTCCTGTAGTTGACACATTGCCAGTTGCCTGTGCATTCTGGTCATTCACATCAACATTTTTCCTTTGTGTATTAATGTCAGTAAGAAACGGAGGTGAAGAATTAACAGAATCTCTACGACCTAAAACAGGCCTGGCACAAAGAAGTTCATCTGAACCTGAATAAGATGTCCACTGCTCTGATGAATCTAAAAAATATCAAATACAGATTTTTTCATTTTATAACTACAGTCTGAGTCACCTTAAAAGCATATCACTATATGTTTGCTTTGGAAGTCACTGGTAACAATGCTATGAAAATTTACTGTTTGCTATGAAAAGTCAATGGCTGCTATGAAGTCACTGCATGCTATGAAACTAAGCTTTAGTTGTTGAAGATTTAGAGAAGAATATTTTTAAGTTTTTACTATATAAATGAAAGGAAAATCAATGTTACCCAGGATGGGGCCAATTTTGACCACTATATTATTTTTTCCCTCATGTTTTCGTATAATAATATCTATCAATTTGTTGTTGCATTGTGATATTGCTAAATGTTATTCATGTATATTAAAATCGAAAGTTGGATTACTTCTAAAAATATTCTGATTTGATCTGCCAATTCCTTTTTTTTATTGCAATTTTTAACATGTAAACATGAAAGGACAAAATGCCATGACAAATGCTCAACTCTCCTAATTATGTTGTCAAGATGCAACTTTTAAGGCCAAATAAAAACAAGAGCACTGCTAGGCGGAGCATTATATGCACAAAGGAGTTTTTTTTGTTAGTAAGGATAAAACATTTGTAGGACATTGGAATTAAATACAGTATTACCTCCTTCAAAAAGCAATCCTCCTTTATAGCTGAAGAACCTTCATATATATATATGTTTTCAAAGCAACAGCATCAAGTTGTAGTTATGCTTCAGAGACAACAACTTTCAGTGTAAAGATCATTGTGACCCTGACCTTTGACCTTATGACCCTAAAATCAATAGGGGTCATGTATTGGACATGGCTGTTCATCCTATAAACTTTTACAGCGTAGGTCGATTAATACTTAAGTTATTGAGAGAAAAGTTATTGAGAGAAACTGTTTTCAGTTTTAAGGTAATAGTGACCTTGACCTTTGACCTTGTGACCCAAAAATCGATAGGGGTCTTCTGCCTAATATGGACAATCATCCTATGAAGTTTGAATACTGTGGGCCAAATGGAACTTAAGTTATGCTCTGGAAACTGTTTTCAGTTTTAAGGTAATAGTGACCTTGACCTTTGACCTTGTGACCCCAAAATTAAATGGGGTCTTCTTCATAATATAGACAATCATCCTATGAAGTTTGAAGACTGTGGGCCAAATGGAACTTTAGTTATGCTCCAGAAACCATTTTCAGTGTTAGGGTAATAGTGACCTTGACGTTTGACCTTGTGACCCCAAAATCAATAGGGGTCTTCTTCACAATATAGACAATCATTCTATGAAGTTTGAAGACTGTGGGCCAAATGGAACTTTAGTTATGCTCTGAAAACCATTTTCAGTGTTAGGGTAATAGTGACCTTGATGTTTGACCTTGTGACCCCAAAATCAATAGGGGTCTTCTACCCAATATGGACAATCATCCTAGTAAGTTTGAAGACTGTGGGCCAAATGGAACTTAAGTTATGCTCCGGAAACCATTTTCAAATTTAAGGTAATAGTGACCTTGACCTTTGACCTTGCAACCCCAAAATCAATAGGGGTCTTCTACGCAATATGGACAATCATCATATGAAGTTTGAATACTGTGGGCCAAATGGAACTTAAGTTATGCTCCGGAAACCAAATTGCTAACGGACGAACAGATGGACATACTCACAAAATGGTGCTTTTTGATCTTTTTGGCCATTTTTAGTCACACAAGGCTTAAAACAAGAGGGCCATGATGGCCCTGAGGTCGCTCACCTGTATATAGCCCCCCCCCCCCCCCCACACCCATAAGAAGATGTTTCATGCTAAACATCTAAGCTCTAGCTCATTGGGCTTTTTAAAAGAAGATTTTTTAAAGTTTTTACTATACACATATAGTTAAAAACGATGACACCCCTGGGGCGGGGCCAGTTTTGACCCAGGGCTTTTATTTGAACAAACATTGTAGACACTTACTGGAATGTTTCATGCTTAATATCTAAACTCTAGCTATTTGGGTTTTTTCAAAGAAGATTTTAAGTTTTTGCTATACACATATAAGGAAAATCAATGACCCCCGGGGCGGGGCCAATTTTGACCCCAGGTCTTTTATTTGAACAAACTTTGTAGACACTTACTAGAAGATGCTTCATGCTTAATATCTAAACTCTAGCTATTTGGGTTTTTTCAAAGAAGATTTTTCAAGTTTTTGCTATACACATATAAGGAAAATCAATGACCCCCGGGGCGGGGCCAATTTTGACCCCAGTGCTTTTATTTGCACAAACTTAGTAGACACCTATTAGAACATGTTTGAAGCTAAATATCTTAGCTCTAGCTCTTGGAGTTCTTTAAAAGAAGATTTTTTAAGTTTTTACTATATGCATATAGGGAAAATCAATGACCCCCTGGGGCGGGGCCAATTTTGACCCCAGGGCTTTTATTTGAACAAACTTGGTAGACACTCACTAGAAGATGTTTCATGCCAAATATCTAAGCTCTAGCTTTTAGGATTTTTTAAAAGAACATATTTAAAGTTTTTTCTTTCGGTTGCCATGGCAACCAGAGTTCTGCATGGAATTAAATTCTTTGAACAATTTTTAAATGTGACCACCAAAGGAACATTCCTGTGAAGTTTGGATGAAATTGGCCTAGTGGTTTATGAGGAGATGTCATTTAAAGTAAAAGTTTACGGACGACGGACGGACAACAGACGAAAAGCGATCACAAAAGCTCACCCTGTCACTTTGTGACAGGTGAGCTAAAAAGACACACAAGTAAAAACGGAATGAATAGGATCAAAGAGAATTTACTGTTACCCATTGTTCTCCAAGTCACACAAGTACCTCTGGGTTCATACGGACGGATGGACAGAGGGACGGACGCCAGGGGGTATAACATAATATGCCCAAAATTATTTCGGGCAATATAGAAATATGTCTGGTTCAGGAAACATTGGCCCAAAAATTAGGAGGGTAGGGATTTTCAATTTTTTTTTTTCCATTTTCACATGTGTTGCTTGCATAACATACTTGAACAGAGATTGTAATCAATCAATGCAAACACCAATTTTTCGAACTTCCAGCATAGTGTGTTTCACTGCAATCTCAATATGAATGGTATTGATAAAGAATTATATTAAAATGATCACTGTCAACAAGTTAAGAATGACACTAGCAAATAGTTTAGCATCTTTTCGCTTGAAGCAGCTCTCGTAAATGAAACACTTTTATCAAACAAATGCCCTAAATTAAAACATGTTACTTCACCTTCCAAAATGTTGCCCCTTGGATGGCCGTTGACATCTCACTTTTGACGTCGTATAATACTTACATGTTTTTTGAGATTGGCCAAACGTAAAGTTGACTAAAACAATGCATGTACATAAAAGTTTAATATTAAGTAACTCATATCAAATATTTGAAACAATGAACAGCAAAATTCATTGCTTTTCCATATTCAAAAATATTGAAGCTTATTAAACTTTTCGTACCCAAAATATTTCGCAGAGAAAATAAAAAAAATAGTTTAGGGTCGGCTGTAAAAAAATAGGGTAGGTCGGGTTCCCTGAACCAGACATATTTTATATTTTGGCCTAAGCTTTACTATTGAAAAAACACCTTAAGCACCCCATTCTAATATCAATTGTTTCAGTGGCGCAAGATGGAGTCATCAGAGCAGAACAACAGACGCAGCTGAAAATAGCTTCCTCGCATGAAAGAATCCAAAGACCAAGGATGGAGTTATGTGTAGGTATATCTTCTAAAAGTACTGTAAAGTAAAATTACCATTAAACATGATGTTGTTTATTGATCTCTCAAGTATTTCAGGTTTCATTTCATGCATTGAAGATTCTTCATTTCCTATGCATCCTGAAATATAAAATATGGTTTTACATATTCTGTAACATAAGCTACTTTACTATTCAAAAAGATGAACTTGGAAAAAAAAGGAATGACAAACATATGAAACATCAGGTAAAAATGAACAAAATTAAATGATCTAGCTACCACTTTTGATGATAAGATCACCTTCAGGATAAAAACAATATAGAAATTCAGCCCAACAAAATGTGGATTACTTTTTAGATGTTACTAAAGATAGATTCAACAGTGTCATGTTTCCAGTAATTTGAAGTCTGAGTACAAGTTAGTCATTAGAGATTTTCCTGAGAAAAATATTTAGCAGACTTGAAAATCCCATATAATTACGCTATGGATATTGATTATAATTAAGGTCACTATGCTGGCTGATTTGTGCCATTCGTGTTTTTGCCCCGCGACCCGGCCAAGCGAAAGGGTCGCGGAATGAAAACATGCTAATTAGCGCCCCTGCTAGTGTGTTTTTGCTCCGCTCCTCGCCATTTTAACTTGTTAATTATCGACTTTTTGCTTGGCGGGGTCGCGGGACGAAAACACGCTAATTAGTGGGGGCGCGCGGCGAAGTTTTACATGCTCAAACGGACAGGCAGATATGGGCAAATCTAAATCTGCCCCCCCCCCCCACCCAAAGTGGGAGCACAAAAATACATTTATTTGATACAATGTAAGATATGGCAAGTCTAGACTATTCAAGCATATATTGTAAATATAGAATATACCAATTTCTTGAAAAAAAGTTTAAGGGGGACATTATTCTAGAAATAGTCTTGCTAGAGTATTGAACCTTCTCACAAATGATTGAGTGATAATAAGAAACATATATATGAAGTTTGAAGAAGATACATTAAGAAATAAAGAAGTTATATAAATAAACAACATTTTTTTCATGTAAATTCAAGGGAGGCAATTCTGATAATTTTTTTGTGCTAGAGTTAAAACCGTGTCATATATGATGTGGTTGGTGACCAGAAACTTACGTTTGAAATAAATACCTTAAGAAATAAAGAATTTATAGTGAAAAATCCTAAAAACTAGAATCAGATATTTTGACGAGGTTTCCGACATTTGTAAGTATGACATCTCAATATACTCCCTATAGTCAAGATTAAAATGATGTGTATAATTTCCATACTACCATCTATCCATATTTAAAGACTCATAAAAAAATTCAGGTTTTTTTTTTACTAATCACAAATATTGTTATATTTGCCATGTTTTAAGCCTATTTGTTGCCATGGCAAACATTTTTTTTTCAAAATAGGTGAAAAGAAATCGACATGCATAATCTCCATACTGCCATCTACCCATATTTCAAGTTTCATAAAAATATTTTCAGTACTTTTTGCATTACCACTAGATCCAGTTTACGTGTTAAATTTGCCTTATTTTTAGTCTATTTGTAAAACCACAATTTTCAAAATAGGAAGAAAAGAAAAAGATGTGCATAATTTCCAGACTGCCATCATCCCATATTTCAAGTTTCATAAAAATATTTCAAGTACTTTTTGCCGTATCACTGGATCCAGTTTATGTGTAAAATTTGCCATCAAAATTTTCCGTCAGTCCCGAAGTCTGTCTGTCAGTCCGTCCGTCCACAAAACTGGAACCCGCGATAACACAAAAAGTACTAAAATATTTTTATGAAACTTGATAAATGGATAGGTGGCAGTATGGAGATTAGGCCGTCTTTTTCTTTACTACCTATGTTGAAAATTCTGGTTGCTATGGCAACAAATAGACTGAATTTCAATATTTCCGATTTAAATTTTTAAGCTTTTTCACTAAAAGTTCTTCATTTCTTAAGGAGTTTACTTCAAACTTTAAATATTAGTTTCTGGTCATCAACCACATCATATGTGACTAGGTTTACAACTCCAGCACAAAAATTATCAGAATTACCTCCCTTGAACTTAGAATTTTTATAAAAAAAATGTTGTCTTTTTTAAATAACTTCTTTATTTATTAATGTAACTATCTACTTCAAACTTCATATTTATGTTTCTTATTATCACTCAACATTTTTGAGAAGGTTAAATACTCTAGCAAGACTATTTCTAGAATTATGTCCCCCTTGAACTTAGATTTTTTTCGAGAAATTGGTATTTTTTACTCCAACTTCTTCATTCCTTATAGGATTAACTTAAAAATCCCACATCATAATAATATGACAAGGTTTATAAATCTAGAATCCATATTTCCAGAATTATCTCCTCCTTGAAGTTTGAAATTTTCTTATTCATTCTTTCCTTCATGGATGTTCTTCAAATTCAAAATAAACATTCATTATCAACACCTACATGCACATTATAATTATTTCTTTTTTAATTTTCATCTTTGTTACTTACTATACATTATAGTTAATGCTAATTTGAAAATTGTTATTTTTTTTACTTATCTTCTTTGTGACTTTAAATGGTATCTTAAAACTTAAAGTAAAACTCACATCATATATGACAATGTTCATAAATCTAGCATATTTATTTCAAGAGTTATCTTCTCTTTAAGAATTTTGCATTAAAATATGTCATTTTTGAAACAATATGTTATTTTTGAAAAAATAACTTTAGAGTCTCCTTCAGGCTGTCTGTATGTACGTCTGTCTGTATGTCTGTTCATAAATTTTTTTTCCTGAGATCACTTTTAAAGATTTTTTCCAACAAATTTACTTACAATAGAGAAAAGTTGAAACATTAGTTTAATTCTTATTCATCCTGAGAAAATTGGACCTTTTGATTATCTGTTGTATACACATAATTTCCTTACTAGGCAGGGAAACTTAACACATTACTGTGATATAGACAAACTTAGAACTCAAAAGATTTAAGTTCATTCATGTCATTCATTAACTGGTAAAATTGAATGGCCAATGGCCCATCAGAATGTTGCTGGGGTTCTAACCGGTAGGGGACTTGTGGATTGCTTGCAATACTTTGATAATTTGCTTGTATTAACTAGCTCTGCACTGTCTAGTAATATTTTTGGGGAAAATATTGAAAATGATGAATTATACTAGTTATTTACTAAAATAAACTGTTTTTATTTTTTTTATTTAACCCATTACTTCATGAGCATTTTGTGAAAAATGGCTGTTTTCATTGAAAAGTCTCCCGTTCAAATTGCTATAATGCTATAAAAACTGCTTCAATACTAATCAAACTTGGCACAAATGTTGACTGGACCATTGCCCTTGCAACAACATGCTCAGGCTAAAATTTTCTGTTAACATGGCAACGAGGGGACATCTCAAAATTGCCAAAAATCACTATTTTGCGTTGATTTTTTCCATCAAAATTGATTTCAAAGTGCTGCAACTTCTCAATGGATTGAGATAGAGTCAAATACTTTTCAGCGTTGGTTACACGTTACCTTATGATCAATCTGGGTTCATTTTTAGCCTCTCACAAGTCCAAAATTTTCTTGGCGATGAGGGGGACTGCTGTCCCCCTTCAAACCCCCCAAACAGAAGGGGGCACATCCCCCTTCTGGCAACCCCCTGATGTATCTTTTAGTTGGGGGAACACGCCGAAAAAGTGGTCACTTTTTTTAACAACATTTCTCAAACAAAAATAAGTGTTGGGGTCCTAAATAAGCCATTTTTTCACCATTTGAGACAAAAAAAAGGGGGGTGAAAAAGGCATTAAAAGGCGTTTATATCGCATAATGGGAAGTCCCCTCCGGTAAACCGGTAGGGGACTAACTAGAAATGTGTCATCATGCCACGGATGCCCCCGCATGCAGCCAAAATTTCAGATATTATAATATTTAGTCAGGGTTCTCGGGGACGCTTATTTCAGCGTCCCGGTACGCATGTTTATTGCAGCTGGACGCAAGTATTTCAGAGCAAGGATTCCGCGTACGCTTAATTTTGCCTGGGGACGCATAAACATAACAGATAGTTTTACACCCCTAAATACACAAATACGTCGGCGCGTGTCAGTCGATAAGTAGGCCGTCCTATGCACATCGACCAGTAAAGCGATTAGCCAATCAGCGATAGCGCTTCCACTCTGATTGATGGATCATTATCACGCGACAGCGATCAGACTAATGTATACATGCGCTGTACATGTAATTACCAGACATAACACGAGGTGATAATCTTTTTATCTTTGATCAACAGTTGATTGGAAATTAGCAAATTTTACCGACAAACGGATTAACTGTTGACTAATTAGGTGGAAATTAATTACGCCGCAAGCTTAAAGACTGTTTTCTCAAGTTTACAAATGAGTGTAATTATGAATAATTGTCGGTTATTTTCGGCATTTTCTAGGCAAAATTTTGCTTTAGTTTTCATTCTTGAAAAAACGTTCTATGAGAGCATTAAGAATTTAAGATATTGTGCCGATATGCCTGGACAACAAACGTTATTTAATTGTGGTGTAAAACGAAAAAGGGATGACCAATGTGATAAAGTCAGAGACTCGGATGATAATAATGACATTGACACAATTTCAAACGCTAAAAACTTGAAAAGGGAATGTATACCTGGAAATCTGAATGGAAAAGAACATTTCCGTGGTTAGAAAAAAATGGAAAAGATGGAAATTTGCTTGCTATTTGTGCTTGGTGCAAGGCTTCAAAACGAAGCAATTCAATGGCAACAGTTGGCTCACCAAATCTACAGGTAATATTTTTATTGCTTCATATTAACTTAAATAAGGCCATCCTTAATCAACATTAAATCTTTAAATATTGACGTCCAATTTGCCCCTTTTGAAGATATTTGCTAAAATAATTGTCGATCAGATGAATCTCTTACACACTGTGTGAAGCTGTACACGATTTTCCTATTCATATCACTAAATGCTGCCTATATACATGTACAAATTTTTTACAAATATAATGAACTTTTGGTCTTAAAGAGTGGACTTATTTAACCAAAATATAATTTGATTTGGTATAAAGGTGAAAAAAAAACAATAACGATTAATACGTTTGTTTCAAATTCATGTACATGTATGATACATCAATGAATGAAATATTGCCCCTGTAAATAATAAATTAATTATTCATTTTTTTCCCCAGAGTTCTACGAGGCCACAAAGGACCATTTATTTGCGACACAGGCACGCCATTCCATACAAAAGAACATTACTGTGCAGAAAGTTGTCGAGTCGCTTAATGAACAAGACCAGGAACAGGATACCGATTCAATTACGGCACAACTGAACACTATGTATTACATAGCCAAACAGGGGGTTGCCCTGAATCAGTTTGACAAGATTATAGAACTTCAGGTAAGAACAAGTAATTTTTGAAAATCAGATATTCTACAAATGCTGAAGATATTTTATGAACTTTCACACATCTTAATAATGACAATGTCAATCTATAGCAAAGAAAACATAATTATCTAAGGTATACCAACAGCAAATATGTGTTGAATTGGCATTGAAAAGAGGCAAATTGTATGTGTTATGATGTAGATTAACTGAAATAAATTATAATTTATATTGAATTTAATTATATTTTAATAGTCGGTTCTATATCATACTTGCTTAAGTGTTGAACTGATATAATAACAGAACTCAAGATATCAGACTATCATTTTACAGCTTGATATGTATTTCTGTTTTAGGTCAAGAACAACTGTCCAGGGTTACAGAATCCAAAGAAAATATATACAAGTGAGGAGTCGAAGACCGAGCTCCTAGATGCTATCAATGCTACACTAGACGAGAACCTGACTGAAAACTTACACAAATCAGATTACATTGGTCTTGTACAGACATTACAGTGCACAAAAAATTGAATGTGTATGTGAAGTGTTTAGTCTCTAATGAACCAAAAGTTCACTTCTTGGAGTGTATTAATGTTCAAAATGGAACAGCAGACACCATAGTTACAGCTGTTAAGGAACTTTTCACAGAGAAAAATATACCTCTAGACAAAGTTGTAACTCTCGCAAGTGATGGAGCCAGTGTTATGACGGGTAAGAAGGGAGGTGTTGGGATCAAATTAAAAGAATTTTCACCCTTGATGATACAAATTCATTGTGTTGCGCACAGGTTGGCCCTTGCTGCAGGTCATGCTTGTTGAGATATCCCAATGCTTGATGAGTATCAGCAGACAGTAAAGTGTATCTATCGCCATTTTAGTAACTCAGCCGTAAGATACAATAAGCTAAGAACTCTTGTGAAGGTGTTGAAGGATGATGACATCAAATTTGTGACTTTAAAAGAACCATCCAGCTTTAGATGGCTTTCAGTAGGTAAGGCTGTTGACGCCATTTATGAAGTGTACCCAGCTTTGTATCAGACACTAGAACAAGAAGCAGCTGAGGGACAGGCTGATGCTAAAGGGCTACTCACAAAGATAAGAAATGTAAACTTTGTACTTGTGACTGCTTTTCTTAAGGATGTTCTGAGCATCATAACTAGGCTAAGTACAATTCTTCAAGGGGACTATGTTGACATTAACATTGTAGAAACACAAATTGAGCTATCTCAGGCAAAGTTGGATAGAATGAAAAGAGTGAATGGGAAGGAGCTTGAGGCAACATATGATAGTATAGACAATGGTGTATATAGAGGGGTTAAGTTGGTGGAAAGAGAAACACTGAGAATTGGTTTTCAAAACAGTGCAAATAAATATCTTGAAAAGCTGTGTGATAATATCAAGGACAGATTTGAACCAGAATCAATGGCAACCCTGAAAAATCTTGATGCTGTACTCAACCCAGAGAAGGTACCGAAGGCTATAGCAGCATTAGAGTTGTATGGAGAGAAAGACTTAGAGGAACTTATTAGAGTGTATGGTGTTAGTGTTATTGATGGAGACAGAGCACGAGATAGCTATTTGGATGTGAAAATCATTCTGAAGAATCTGAATATGAACCTACAAGAAGGGTGTGTGCATATCATTAAGAAATACAGTGAACTTTACCCTGACTTTGTTCAACTAGCCAAAATCCTTCTTGTTTCCCCTGTCACTTCTGTAGCATGTGAAAGAGGATTTAGTGTTCACAACCATATTAAGACCAAAGGACGCTCTAGACTAAACCACAATACTGTTGTTAAGCTCATGAGAATAACACAAGAAGGTCCCTCTTTGAAAGACTTCAACCCCTGTGCCAGTGTTGCCAAATTTAAACAATTGCGTCCAAGGAGGAAGTGAACAAAACTCATGAACTGAATGAATGAAAGTCTAAAATATCCATGCCCATAAGGCACTTGAGGAGCTAAATAATTTAGCTAGTCAATAGTTACTTTATATTTGAGGAAAGACATTTAAGTGACTGATTTTGATAGCATACATGTATATGTTCTTTTGAGTAGACTGTCTATTTTGATCACATAACACATGTCCACATTATGACTTGTTCTATTTCAGATGACACAAATATGGGAAAATATTTATTAAGTTATGTTCTGTTATTTTCATGCTATTTATTTGAAATCTATCATCATGTTGACATATCATATATATATATATATATATATATATATATATATATATATATATATATATATATATATAAGAAATAAAAACAGTTAATCTTTAATGTTTTGTTTCATTACTGTGTTGATGCATTATAATCATATAACTATAAAGTCTCTTGAAGATTCAAAATATCAGCTATTGTGAGCATTAAAGACTAATCTGTAAGCATATTACTTGCGACGCGCTTTTAGACTCCAACTTTTTCAGACTTGGGAGTCCATGGCCTCCATGTTTTAAAGTCCTAGTGAGAACCCTGTTAGTTCCAAATTTGTTTGCACAAATTATTTTTTTCATTTTAAGTTCAAAGCCCTTAATAACACAAACCATTTTCATACAATGTTCAAGGCACTGAAATTATTCAGTCTTAACCTTTTGAAAATAGCATATTTCATATTAATAGCCAAAATAATGGCTACATACATTTCCATAAAAGTATGAGTGCTGAAACTGAAAGTTCAAAATTTTTCCAACATTCAAGAAAGATAAGTTTGTCCAAAATCATTGAACCGCAACCAAATTCAAACTTAAACTGCTTATTCCTAAGATGTATCTTATATTATTTTCAAAGTGAAAGGGACATAACTCTGCCAAAAAATCATCGAACCATGACCAAAATCCAACTTGACCTGCCCATTCCTTTGACATATCCATATGTCAAATTTGAGTTGAATATGTAACACTGTTGGGTAGATAATGAACAGAAACTGTAAATTTCATATTATTTTCAAAGTAAAAGGGGCATAACTCTGCCAAAAATCATCGAACCATGACCAAATTTGAACTTGACCTGTGCATTCCTTTGACGTATCTATATGTCAAGTTTGAGTTGAATGTGTTGTACCGTTGGGGAGATAATGAACGGAAACTAAAAATTTCATATTTTTTTCAAAGTGAAAGGGGCATAACTCTGCCAAAAATCATTGAACCATGACCAAATTCGAACTTGGCCTGTATTTTCTCATGAATGACATATCCATATGTCAAATTTGAGTTGAATGTGTTGTACTGTTGGGGAGATAATGAACGGAAACTGAAAATTTCATATTATTTTCAAAGTGATAGGGGCATAACTCTGTAAAAAATCATCGAACCATGACCAAATTCGAACTTGACCTGTATTTTCTCATGACATTTCAATATGTCAAGTTTGAGTTGAATGTGTTGTACCGTTGGGGAAATAATGAACGGAAACTGAAAATTTCATATTATTTTCAAAGTAAAAGGGGCATAACTCTGCCAAAAATCATCGAACCATGACCAAATTCGAACTTGACCTGTATTTTCTCATGACATATCCATATGTCAAGTTTGAGTTGAATGTGTGCAACCGTTACTAAGATAATGAACGGAAACTGGTGATGACGGAAGGACGGAACAGGGTAACAATATATGCCCACTATTATTTATGGATGTTATTTTGTATCAAGAGTTTTAGCGCGGTCAGTCTTTTTACCCCAAGACACCCCTAGACTACCCCAAGACACCCCTACACTATCCCAAGTAATGTAAGATCATAAATCATATATTCTTTTTTGTGCAAAATAGTTTACAACAATGAAATCATGCCGAGGTTGAGGGGTTTTGGTGTAGTGTGAGTTTTATTATGCGACAATGTCATTTTATGAGTGACACATTTTTGATGCCTGATTATTCAATTATAAATATCATGAGAATGAGTTTTGGATGGATATGAATAAACTTGTCATAATAAAAATAGTAACACATCATTGTTTGTTGGTTTTTTATTTAATCATCTCTTTTATCTCTATCTTTTTTTTAAATTTTTTATTTCATTTTCGATGTAAAACTGCAAAAGTAACATATGATATAAAATGATACATGTTCACTGAACAATTTCTAAAGTTCATTGTTATGAATCTTTGCCCTCAAAAAACAACTTAGTCAACTGTATATATTTCATTTCTCATTGAAAGACAATGTGTGCCTCATTTTAACAGTATATATATTTCTATAATGTTTTGTTTAGAAGCCTTCAAACTCCTCATCGTCACTTTCACCAAAGAGTTCATTAAACTGGCATTCAGTTAAAGTGTCAGCGTAAATATCTGTGTCCTGGTCATTTTCCTCATTTTCAGGCACAACATCTTGCTTGCTACTAGTACTAGCAAGAAATTCAGAGAAGAGTTCATCATCCTCACTTCCATCTAATGAATTCGAAATTCCACACTTGAGGAAAGTTTTCTTTTGCAAACTGAATTACAGTCAATTTAAAGAGCTAGGTTCACTAACTACTGAAAATGGCCCCCAAAAAATCAAAAATAAAATCTAAGGAAAAACTTTTTTTGTGTTATGTTTTTAATTAACAACATTAATGCATCATAAAAATCATTTTTCTTTTTTAAAAATCGTTGTATAGGTAATAATAATGTACCGTTGTTAGGACCCTATTCTGGCAAAAATAGCAATAATTCATAAAAATCTGGTGTTATTTTTTATTTTCTCAATATGAGCGCACGTTTGTTCCACCTTTAAACTTACTTTGAATAATTTGTAATTCTATTGTCCTTCAATAAATCATCGTTAGCTTGTGGAACATGCATGCGCTCACAGTATAAAATAAGAAAATTTATGCCGTCCCCCCACCCCCCTGATAATTATAAAAGGGGACCTATCGTCTTAAAAATCATCGTTATAATCTTTTCTGATAACAGATTACGCATAAATAAGCAAAGTGTGAAAGAAAACTTGAAAATAAGTTATTACAAAGTATTTACAAAACAACAACATCATGAAATACGATAATCGCTCATTTATTCGACATCACTGGACGAACTAAAGTGGGTGCGAAACACAGCCTCGCTATTGTAAACAACTCGAGATAGACACCAACATAAAGTGCAATTCCAGGTACTTATTTTCCCCTAATGAATAAAACATGTTCAGAACCATATTTTATAACATTTATGCAATTAAGACTACCTATTGGTATTTATTTATACTCTACTGTATGTAAATAATCAGTTTCAAAAAAGAATATTGACTGTCATGTACAGCAAAAATGAACAGGAGTTCAATCATGGATCTACGCAACGAAATGAAATTAACGATGCATAATTTCGGATCACGTTAAGTGTATTATGTGATATGGTAAAACATAAAAGAAAAGATTTCAGGCTTTTTGTTTAATATTTAAATCTATGGAAATGTAGTAAATATCTATCGGCTGCTGTCAAATTTATTTGTACTACTTTACTATATATAGATACATGTACATATACTTCCATCACTACACTGTCTGTTATGGTACAATGGAATAGCCTGTGGAGTTCCATGCAGGAGAGATGGTTCGAAACTAACTCGAGTCACATTTTTATTTTTTTTTTTTTTTTGCTTTTTTTCATTATTATTATTTCAATTGCTTCAGATTTAAAAAGGTGAACTATGTTTAAACTGTCGGACAAAAACAAATAATAATTTATTCTTCTATGAAGCTAATTCCAATAGATTACATTTATAAACAAAATTAGTTCA